ATGACAGCAAAAGTGAGTCATCCTGGAATGAGATGCGGAGACTCCAACATGGATTCCTACAGACTTCTACATGAGCTACTTAGTCACGTTAACATCCAGTACAGTGCATACCAAAGGTTCACGCAAGCTAGAGGAAAAGATTTGGGCTGCCAAAACAATGCCGTGTCAAGACAACGAAGATCAAAACCCGGGACTCTCAAAGAGCCACAACTAAGTGCGAATTCTACTGAATAAACACAGCAGAAGTGCTGCCAACTTCAGATTTTATAATAAGCTTCCCAATATGTGCTTTTCATTCCAATGCCTCACCAGCTGGAATGTGCATGATTTTGAAAGGTTCTTTAAGCTTGGGGGTGGAGAAAAAAAGCACCCAAAAAGTATGAAAAATACTGGGGAGAGGAAGGAGAGGAGGAAGAGGAAGGGTGAGAGCGGGAGATCTAAAAATAAAGTGAACCTAGGGATGCAAAAGCCAGGAAGTGTTATTTTAGCATTCTCCCACTGATTTTTTTAAAAATAAAAATTACACAAACTCCTAAAAGAGCAGGGGGAGGGCTTGACTGCCCCATTTCTGGCTTAATGACTCTTGAATGCTAGGCACAGATAACATGAACTTGAGAGTTCAAGGCCCTGTGAATTCTGCAATTCCCAGTATTCCCACAGAATAAAAAGCACTTCAGTACCTGCAAGGCATCAAGCAATGGGAACCAGTATTTTGCAGTTAGCAGGAGGGATTTGGTAATCTAGCAGCTGCATCAATATTTCTGGATACAAAGAAAATGCCTCTGTGAAAGAATGAGCCTGGAAAAACAGTTCATGAATAAATCTTCCCTAAAATGCCCAAACCAACTAACTTAAAATGAAAACAAATGAAAACATTTCTCTAGTCGCTCACAACATTGTTTGGCCACAGCTTCTCACAAGGACTCAGTGGTACCTCCATCCCAAACAAAGAACTCCAGATCCCAAGGCAATATAAAACAATAGCTTTGTTTGTAACCAAAGCAATGTTATTCTACAACATGAAATGCAAGTCCGCGCTGGAGCACTTTTGAAATTGCCTCTACTTACTGCTGCACAGCAAGGCTGAAGAGACTCTCAAGGTCATTAAAGGAATAGTAACTGCATCAATTAAAATGGATATAGCACTGTCAAAATGTTAAAAGCACTTGTCATGCAGTATTTTTATTTACATGTGCTTTATTATTCTTTATCACTATTGTAAGCACTTTGTGCATTGGGGGAATAAACAATAAATATATTCGTTATTGTATTATTATTATCATCATGATGTAATTTTTATTATGGCCTTGAAAAACAGGGGTAGTACTATTATCCCCCCATTATTAAGCTGAGAGAACGTAGCTTGCCTGCCTCTGGCCACCTAGTGATTTCACCCAATTCCTAGCTCAGGCTCTCTGGCTACCATGTCACCGCAGCTCTCAATCCAGCTCTCCGAATAATCCAGCTCTGACATTCACCCTGCCAAGAATACCTGCTGCCAAGGCTGAACAGATTTTACCTTATGAGCAAAGTTGGGTGTAGTTCACCACCCTGGGCATTTATTAGAAAGATGGCATACAAGTTCTATCTTTTTAATTTCTTCAATTTAGGGAGCTGGGTGAGAGGTGAAATGATGGTAATTATGTCCAGGCATGATTGACGTAATAAAGACTGGAGGATCATGTGACTTGGACAGAATTTGACACTCTGAGCACACTCCGTACTATCAGGCTCACTGTCTTCACGTGCTCCTGGATTTATTTATCCAAATTTAGACACTCAAGTGAATCCTTGACTTAAGCTCTATTGCAGCCTTTTCTTTTAAGATCAGCTCAGAATTAATACTTAACAATTTCTACGCTAGGTGGCTGTGTTTTCTGTGGGTAAGCCCCTCAAAAGTAGCACAGAAATGTCAGCTGGTAGAAAACATCACTTCTCACTTTTTGAAGGTCACAAGAAGCATATGACACCCATGCTAGACCATCAGCACTGGCTCTTTACTGCCTTACTGGCTAAATTTAGGCTGCAGTCCTATATACACTCTCCAGGGAGTAAGTTCCACTGAATTCAAGTGGGGTTTATTTCCAGGTAGGCATGTGCAGGATCACACTGTTAATGTGCTGGGACTTATGAAGCCCTAAACAAACTGGGCCAAACATACCTGACCAATGGCCTCCATCCCTCTGCTTCACTGTAAGCTCCAATAATATTTGGAAGCACCCTCTCAAGTTTAACATTCACAGCACTCACAGAGAGGTGTTCTTAGTGGTTGCCCTTTTCTGTGGAACACCCCTGAAGACTTAAGGGAGTCTGAGCAAGCATCCTCTCAAAGCAGTGTAAAACATTTTGATTTTACTTGGCTTTGAGTGGCCAGGGACAGTAAGCAACAATGGTTTCAAAAACTGTACTTGGGTTAAAGGGTTTAATATTTTTAAGTGCCTCAAGTGCACACTAGCCATTAAGTCTGGAACTGCCATCATTCATTCATTCATTCATTCATTCATTCACTTTTTACCAATGATCCAGATCAGAGGTCAGCAAACTTTTTCAGCAGGGGGCCGGTCCACTGTCCCTCAGACCTTGTGGGGGGCTGGACTATATTTTGAGGGGGGGGGAATAATGAACGAATTCCTATGCCTCACAAATAACCCCGAGATGCATTTTAAATAAAAGCACACATTCTACTCATGTGAAAACACCAGACAGGCCTCAGAAATAACCCCGAGATGCATTTTACATAAAAGTACACATTCTACTCATGTAAAAACACGCTGATTCCCAGACTGTCTGCGGGCTGGATTTAGAAGGTGATTGGGCCAGATCCGGCCCCTGGGCCTTACTTTGCCCACCCATGATCCAGATGATGCATTCTACTTCTCTTGTGTGGTCTGTTTCCTCCAGACCTGATTTGTGGTGATTCTCTTCATTTAGAAAAAGGATAATAAAAGAACTTAGCACTAGCTTTCTTTCAGCAAGCACAACTCCATTGAGACTTCTCACACCATTGTGCTTTTAATTAGAAACTTCTTCCTTGCAGCTTTTGCCTCTAATTGCTTACTGTTCAATATGGTCTGGGCATTATTGATTCATTTGCCCTTTAATTAAATCAGTTCCTGCTCCCCACCAGTGGGCATTTTAGATACTGTTTTCCTCCCCTTAATATTTCTTTTACTTTTTTAACTGCAAAACAGCTCTATTTCAGAAAGAAAGAAAGAAAGAAAGAAAGAAAGAAAGAAAGAAAGAAAGAAAGAATAGAGGAAATCAGATATTAAAGTCCCCAAGCCTGTTGGAGGAAAGGCACTGACTGATTAAGGAGTCATTCATCAGCAAAGCCAAGGCTCATAAAAAAAACACCATAAAGCAACTGGAGATTTAAACTACAAAGTGGAAGCTTCTAATTAAAGTCACATGGGATATTTGCATAATAGGACTTACTTCTGAGTAAATATCTTAGATATTTGGGACGTTATCATAGGGATGGGCATTGCAATTAATATAGTGCTATCGTTAGTACCAGGTATAATTACCACTTTAATTCTGTTTCCAGCTAATTTCAGAAAGGCAATACTTCAGCACCTTTAAATAAAACTAGTATGGATGTAACCAAACATACAAATAAACCCCAATAACATTTAGTCATCAGAATATCATCCCTTTCTTGCCATTTCGTTGTACTATAAATACTCAGTTGTTCTTCACTGTATGGGCCACACCACATTATTAGTAAAGCTGTTGCACCTTTCCCCATTGCACCTTCCCATAGCCCTTACGGCTTGGCTACCAAGGATAACTTTGTCAAAGGTGGACTGTCCTTAATACCAAAGGAGATGTGTGACATATGACATTAAGGACTTATTTCAAGTCTTTTAGAATACTGTATAACATCCTAGAAAGGAAAATTATTAGCTAAAAGGACATAACATTAAAATCAAGCTAACAACAGGGCCTTTCATTCTCAAAAGTCATCTGTGCCACACAAACACTTCCCATCAGATGTTGTGATGGGGGTAATTCAGCACTGCAGGCTTGTTAGTAATTATTTCTCAGCGAGAATAATCAAAGGTGTTACCCCAATAAAAACAAGACAACTGCTGAGACTCTTAATGAGAAACAAAAAAGTTTAGGAAACACTGACCTAATTGGAATAGAATGCATAAAGCTCAAACTGGTTCCTGCCAACTCTGCAGTTCGTCAAGACACTATGCAAACCAAGAGTTCAGGCAGAAGCCTATTCACACAATCAGCATGCTGCAGTTAACTGTACGATGCTAAAAATGGAAGTGGATTCTGACAATAATTGCCAGTAGTTCAGTGGCATTCAATTGTAAACAACACCACATTAGCTGTCAGGTGGAAACTCTGCACATGACATTCCCAGGTGTGTAACCACAGATCTAGGGTAATAGATTTATTTAAAGGCGCGGGTTAAGATGATCATGTGGCTGAACTGATAAAGAGTGTGAAAACATTTTGTATGAATCACCTCTCTGAAACCAACCCCAAAGTGACACAGATATTTTGCATTCAGTCTCTTTGCACAACATTCCACAGAAGAGGAATCCTTCCCCCACTCGCATCAGAAACTTCAAAACTGGGTGTGGGGGCGGTATATAGGGAAAGAAAAGAGATGGCATAAGTAGCACAATGTTTTGTGGCAGTCAGCCAATGGAAGGGAAATAAACTGTAATAAAATTAGAAGCATAGCATAAACACCCATTGCTTCTTTGAAATTCATTCCAAGACAAAGATGTTAACTTTGGCAATGCTTGGATAGCCATGCCATGCCAACAGAGATATCGAGATTGAGGCTGAACATAGTGGAATTGGTCCAGAGAGGGACTGAAGACAGCTGACGAAGAGGTGTGTGCTGGAGGAGAGAGGAAGGAAAAAAACAGTGGAGAGCAATGGAGGGGAGGAAAACAGCGGGAGGGGGTCAGAAGCAAAGAGGTATCAGGGAGACGGAAAGAGAAGTGCAAAAAAGAGTGGAGTGCTGAAACAGGCAGAGGAAAAAGACGTTTATATACATATATATCTCAACATGAATGCCTGAGAACATTGCTTCCTTTCACCAGGTGTTATAATTTTGTTTACAATACTCTTTAAAAATAGCCCCTGATGCCGCCCAAGAGCTTTGGTCTCCTGCTTTTGGAGAAACCTCCCTGAGAATTTGTGCCCCCCTCCCCACATTCCTCCGTTCTTACTCCCTTCTTAGACATGCTTTTATTGCTTAGATTTAATACAAATCTAGCCTGACAGCCCCCACAAGAATGAACCTGCCACCTTCCGAGATGGGGGGAAAGTTCTGTGGCTGCCACCCATCCACCCAAGACCCACAAGAAGTCTGCAGTGGCCCAGGTCATACCAGTTTTGCTTCTGTGCCCTTTTAAGGGAATAAAAAGTCAGGAAAAGCAGCAGGGCAAGGCACAAGCCTCCTTTCCCACCATACAAAGACTGGAGGCAAAGCTCTTTCCTGGACCGGGAGCTCTCTGCACAAACAAAGCTTTCGCATGAGCTTCTTCTCAAACCTGACAGCTGGACGGAGCAGTCCAAAGGACGTTTCTCTCTCCAAGTCTAATTCCAGTAGTAGGATAAAAAAAATCCTGGGATGAAAAAAGATGTTACATTCACACACTCAACTCTGTAGCCCTCCAGGGCTCAGAGTTCAAGGTGGGTAAGAATAGGTAGGAAGGGGAGAGAACAAAATGGCTTTATCCTGACTTGTTGAGACTCATTGTAGCATACCAGACAACCAGAAAGGAATCGCCCAAAGATACACCAGACTCTCAGAGCAGCACAGGAAAGTCACTTCAAGTCTTCGGCTGGCAGAATTTTGCAGGAAGCCCAAGGAGGTGATTACTGCCCAGAGAGAGGCAGGTTGTACTTTTCCACCAGGATGTGACCATTGCCCATATCTTGAGCGAGGGTCAAAAGGACTAGCATTTCAAAGATTTGATGCAAGGAAATGATCCATCATGAGAATAATTTTTCCTATACAGTACCTCCTATTCCCATCCCTTGTGTCCTAGGACTCGGTAGGGTGCTTACAAGTTACCCATAGTGCATTATAGCTATATGGGTTAGGGTCAAGCATGGCTCCACATAGAAAAAAGACAGCAAGCCTTCTGATGAGTTGCTGTCATGTGTTCTTTACAAGGGATTGCCAAGGTCCCATCAACCTGCCTCAGAGATGGTGGCTCCTCCTGAGCCTAGTGCATGCCCAGCTCCTAATACCCTGTCAAGCAGTAGAGCCAAAAGCCTACCAACATCCATCAGATTTTTATTTTTACAGCAGCAGCCATGTTAATTGTTGTAGCCTTTCATGTCTCCTCTGGAGAACATTCCTGGGCACAGTAACTTCCCTCTCCATCATCCAACATGGAGGAGTCATTTTTCATCTGGGCCTGCAGAACTTCAGACTCATTCTCCTCCTGCTCTTCTTCTTCTTCCTGCTCCCGAAGGGCCTGGAGACGTTCCTCCCTAGCCTCCAGAAACTCCTGAGCCCCTTCGCCCACTACCAGGACTGTGTCAGCCACATTGGGTGGTGCTTCCACTGGATTGTGGTCGTAGGAGAAGAGCCGAAGCCTCCGCAGGTGGCTCAGGTCAGGGAATTCAGTCAGCTTGTTGCGGTCAAGGTCGAGGATGTGAAGCTGCGTCATGCGAAGCAAAGACTTGGGGAACTCCTCAAAGCGGTTCCCATACAGCCAGAGCCCACGAAGTCCCCTCATGCGTGGCAGGCCGTTGGGCAGTGTTTTGAGCCGGTTGTCTCCCATCTGCAGGGACTGCAGCCAAGGCATCTGAAGCAAAACCCGAGGGAAGTGGTACAAGTAGTTGCTCTCGATCCACAGGCAACGGAGAGTGGTGAGCTGGCAGAATTCTGCGGGAAGCCCAAAGAGGCGGTTGCTGCCCAGATAGAGGCGGGTCAGGTTGGGCAGGCGACACAGGGCCTCGGGCACTTCCTCCAGCTTGTTGAAGTCCAGGGCCAGGATACGCAGCTCCTGCAGCCCTTCGATCTCCTCAGGCAGCTCCGTTATCCCCGTGCCACTGATGTACAGCTTCTGCAGGGTGCCCAGGGCACAGACTGGCAAGGGCAGTTTCTTCAAGTGGCGCCCGGAGAGCTCCAGCATCTGATCCCCGCCGCTCAGCTGCTCTTCGGCAGCTGAGGGCAGCCGCTCCTCCCTCCCTGAGGACCCGCCACTGCCCATCCTCATAGCCAAGGCAGGCTGCTGCTAGCAGGACTAAGGCCACCACCTCTGCCCGCTGGGCTCCAAGGAGACATGGCAACCACCGAGGTCCCTGCCCACCACCAGGCTGGCCTGCCGGGGTTAGGACCAGGGCTCGCTGGACGATGGTTCCCCCTGCCAGGGCTGGAACTGATGCTGCCGCCACCTCCTGCTGCTCCTCGTCCCTCAGAACACCTTCCCTGCCCTCGGAGCTGGGCCTCCTCCGGAGTCTGGTGGCGGCCCCCTGCGCCCCTGGGACCTTGAGGGCGGGAGAGGAGCTTCTTGGCGCGTGGGGCGGACGAAACTCCCGCTCCAGAGCTGCTTGCTTGCTTGCCGCCTCTTCTCGCAGCCCACCTTTCCCTCCTCGAGGGCAAGCGGGACAGAGCAGCCGCTCCAGCCCTCAGCAGGGACCCCGCTCGCGTGGCCCCGTCGCGCGTCCGTCCAGACAGGCGCTGACCTCGGCCCTCCCGGCTTCTCGCTCCGGGGCTCCCTGCTAGGTCTGAGCTCGGCTCCCACACACACGAGCCCGGCGCCTAGCGACTCGTCGCCATGGAAACCCCCACGCGGGATCGCCCGCCTATGGCAGAGCCCGACGCTTCGGACGGGGCGGGACTACGCTCTCGTTCGCCGCCGCCGCCGCCCCCCTTCCCGCGACACACAGCCTGCGAAGAGTGGAGGAGTTTTTTAAACCAATCCGGCTAACTGAGCTGTGAGGGCTCAGTGGGGGGGGGGGGGAGCGAGAAGCCACGCCTCGTGGCCCCGGCCCTTGTGGCTCCCTCTTCGAAGGGGAGGAGGGAGACGTTCGCGCGAGGGCTCCTTTAACGGCTGCCGGGGTGGCAGGCCCCGCCCCTCGCTCGCCCGCAGCTGCGGCAGCCTCGTCCCGGCTACACACCCCCTTCGGCTCTCTCCTCTCCACGCCCTACAAGCCCCGCTCGGCTCCGCCATAGGCAGCACCGCCTCACACGTGGCTCCCGCCCCTTCAAACTGCTGCGCTAACAGGTGGCAATTCAACAGGTGCAGGTTGGTCGTTGCTTCGACCCCCGGCCCGCCCCCACCCGCGACTAGAAGATGCAGGGACGTGGAGATTTGCCCCCCCCCCCGGGCGAGGTCCATTTCTGCGTGTGGCGCCCGGAAGGTACAGAAGCCCAGAAGGAGAGTCCCGAGTGAGAGAGGACGAGGCATGGGCGTAACCGGGATTTATTAGGGGGTGCAGGCTTTATGTTAGTGCGGGGAGCAGAGTTATCTGCGATGCAATTGATATTTTTATTATCAGCTGCAGCTGCGCCCCCCCCCCCGGCTACGCCCATGTGACGAGGGGCTGCAAAAGGGCGGGAGTGGGAAGCAGCGGCAGCTGCAGCAACAACCACAGTGGGGACGACGGTCGATTTCCCCTCAGCACCCAAAGTCCACACTGCAAAGCAAAAAGGCTTCCCAGTAATGTTGTTGCCACAGATTCCCTAGAGAGAAGGCACACACGAGTGTTACTACTGCAGGGTGGCATCTGTTGGTTGGAAACTAACAGCACCCAGTCACATGGGAGCAAGCCCCATTGTGTCCACTGAGGCTTACTTTTGAGTAAGCAGACTTATCAGACTTATTCCTTTTTAAAGAGCTTGATCCTTGTAACAACTGAAAGATTGCTCTTCACAATTTACAGCTGAGAAACTGAGGGCCCATTGTCACAGCTCCTTGCTGGATGGTATCCACAGCGTGCAGTGATTTGCAGCTGTGGTGCCATGTGCCGAAGTTGTGGTGCAAAAGCCACAAGAGTAGATGCAGAACTCCGCATGAGCTGGTTTTTAAGGCACTGCTGACAAAAGTAGCTTTTTGAGTACTTCAACAATCTATAAAAAGCGAATCCACACAGACTTCTTGTGCGCATTTGGCACTGATTGTCGTATTACGTCAGTTCGTCGCATCTGCTGCTGGAAGTCAGTGCAACAAATACAGTATCAGGTTAGGAGGCAAACCATTAAAAGGTACAACAGTTGTATGAAGACTCTGGCCTCTGGTTATATAAAATCTGTGTTTAGTATAGAAAACACTAGATTTCATTCAGTTAACACACAGAAGTAAGTTTGTGAACCAAGAGCTAAACATTTACATTCAGGCAGCTGAAGACTGGCTATTTAAGTTAGGGGAACTTGCTTCAGGAATCCTGGTGACTTCAAATTTCTAAGCTGTCACATAGAACTGATTATCATGTGAAAAGAATCCCTATGCATGACTGTTCAAAATAATAATATAGATTTGCTCCCTTACATGCCACTGGTTTCTAATCTGGTGCATAGACTAGCAAAGCACCCTAAATCTACACAGAAAGTCCTCTCAAGGTTCATTTGGCAGGGAAAGAGGCCAAGGATTAGATACAAATTACTTACAGATCGAAAGGAGAGAGGAGGATTGGCGGTGCCCAACCTAAGATTGTACTATGAAGCAGCCTGTCTATGCTGGGTGAAAGATTGGATAACTCTGGAAAATAAGGACTTACTAGAACTCGAAGGGGCAGAAAACAGGTCCGGCTGGCATGCCTATCTTTGGCTGAGCAAAGGAAAAACACATAAGAACTTTTCGAACCATATTATTAAAGGCCCGATATATGAAGTTTGGGAAAAAAACAAGAAAATGTTAGAACCCAAAACACCTTGGTGGTTGTCTCCAACTGATATTTTGTCACTTAAAAAAACAAATTTGGATGAACAAAGTTTAAAGTATGAAGATTTACTGACATGCTCTCAGGAAGGCTGGAAATTAAAACCATATGAGGAGCTGAAAGAAAAGCTGAAGGGTTGGCTACACTATCACCAAATTAATGCAAGATGGACGGAGGATAAGAAAGTAGGAATGAATGAAAAGAAATCAAAATTCCAAATCGAAATAATTGAAAGTAAATCTAAGTTGCTATCTAAAATGTACAACATTTTGTTAGAACATGATACAAAAGATATAGAAATTAAAGAGGTTACGGTAAAGTGGGCAAGAGATCTGGGACACAACATAGAACATGAGAAATGGTTAAAATTATGGAACGAGGGGATAAAATTTACAGCCAGTGCCGCAATTAGAGAAAACTTAGAAAAAATGATATATAGATGGTATTTAACCCCAGAAAAATTAAATAGGATGTACAAGACCGGTAATAAGGCCTGCTGGAAATGCAAAACAAATGAAGGGAACTTTATACATATGTGGTGGATGTGTGAGGGTATAAAAAAATTCTGGAATCAGATATACGATGAATTAAAAAAAATGTTGAGACTCACATTCCCCAAAAAACCAGAGGCCTTCTTACTAGGGATGGTGGGAAAAGAAATACCGGGAAAAGATAAAACTCTGTTCCAATATGCAACGGCTGCGGCCAGAATGTTAATTGCCCAGAACTGGAAAAACTCAACTTTACCAACGGTGAAAGAATGGCAACTGAAACTTTATGGCTTTATAGAAATGGCAAAAATGACACAAAGAATTAGAAATCAAAAAAATACAAAGTTAACAGAAGATTGGAATAAATTCATGGTATATATTGAAAGTAATCTTAGTAACTTACCAACTACAGTAGGTCTGACTTAAATCTTCCAATGTGACAAACGATAAAACCTACACCAGCTGTATGATGAAATTACTAAAGGTAGGAATCCGAAATCAGGAGGGAAGGAAGCTAACAAACTGTTTGTATATACCTTTACTTTTCCTTTCTTGTATTTTCTTCTCTCTTTTTCCTTCTAACCTTTTTTTCTTTACTGAATCTTTTTGAATGTGTATCGGCTGTGTAGTCTTTTTCCTTTTGTTTTGTATTTTTTCTTTTTGTGGATGTGTGTGATGAAGAAAACTTAATAAAAAGCATTTAAAAAAACAAAACAAAATAATAATATAGATTTGCTCCCTTACATGCCACTGGTTTCTAATCTGGTGCATAGACTAGCAAAGCACCCTAAATCTACACCCTAAATCAGCCTTCTGCCCTTGAAGTAAACTTTAAGATACAGAAACCCTAATATTAAAGAGGATGTTATTTACTCCTATATATATTTATAGGAGTAAATATGTGGCCATAGCCACATTGTGTAGAAAAGAATTCCTGCACCTGCCTAAAATGCATAAATTACAAATCCCATCCATAAAATAGAGGCTAACATTTATGATAAATGCAGATTCAGAGGATGAGAAAAATAAGGCTCTTTCAGATCTTGGTCTAGCTCCCATAAAAATGAGCAGTTGTTTTTCCATTAACTTTATTTGCAGGCACATCAGAACCTCAGAGTTCTATACACAGAGTTTGCTTAGCACACAGATCAGTACTGCCTTATTCCCCATGAACTATATTAATGTATCCCCATTGGTAGGCTTGTTATTTCAGTACCAACTCCCCCTCAGTCATATATCTATATCTCCATCGTCATGAGTGACACTCGCTCTGAATTATTCTCACTCCAGATGGTTGTAAAGGTGATGGGGATTCTTTTTCCAGAGCTATATGTAGACTTCTCTGCCTTCTGCAGACATAGTTACCAGCTGATGTTACAGATCTGATCCATATATTCATACCCATTTTAAACTTCCCTCTAGTATAGTAGAGTCCATGGCTAAGTGGTAGAGCATCTGTTTTGCATGGCAAGGATCCCAGGTTAAATTGCCAGCATCTCCAGATGAGGCTGGGAGATACTTCTACCTGCAACCATGGAATGCTGCCACCAGTCCATGTAGACACTATTGAGCTAGATGGACCAAGTGTAAGGCAGCTTCTATATTTCCTATGTATAGCTAACCATGAAGCAGTAGCCCGTTTTTCAGGAAATTGCCACCATTGTCATCCAGTACACCACATACAGTGGAATGGGGAACCCTTTTGGCCCAGTGTGTCCAGATCTGTACCTCTGCCCCTCCCCCTTGCGCACACGCACACATAGCAGCAGCAGCATATGTTATATAGGCTTCTACAAATGTGGAAGACACTCCTCCCCACCCACTCTCAAGTGTGTAGAACAAAACACAATTTGGGACAAGAACCCCCTACTCACTCAAAAGTTGAAGACAAGAAACAGCATGGGCTGCCTATCTTCAGAAAATGCAACTAATCCATCTGGGGAAATATAAACACAGATATTCAGTGGGAGGGAGAGAGCAGAGAGGGAGGCTCAGGCAGCGCATTAGATATGTAAGAGAACAGCCTAGAAGAGAGTGCAGTTCTGCAGGGTGTACACAAAGATGAAGGTGTCAGGGTTATGAAAGAGGGAGGAGATGATCCTCGCGTACAGGACTCTTCTAGTCATGTGCTGGCTGACAAGTGAGAGGAGGACCTTGAAAGCAAAACAAAACCCAAGCCCAGAAATGATCAAAGAGCAGAAGGAAATGGTTTTTAAAGGCGAGCTTCTAATGGAGTTAGCCCCGCATAGCTTCACTAGGAAAGGAAAGAGGTGGCATCAGATAACAATCTAAAAATTTCAAAGAAGTTAAACTATGGATGGCTGAAAGAAAGTTTTGGAGCAAAAAGTTAAAAGTAAGGAAACATTTTATTGGCACTCAGAGGCATCAGGCTAATGAAAACCTTTGCTTGCAATATTACAGTCACACCATGAGGCCACAGAGAGAACCTGATAGTACCCTTAATGAACTAAGGATTTAAATTAAATTGCTTTTTTACTGCTTTCTTTTCCCATCCCAAAAGCTGTCCTAAAAGCTATAGCCATGCTAGCTCTTTATATACACACATGCAAAAACCAGCCATTCCTTTTGCCCCATTTTTGAATCATCTTGGCTTGCATTAAACTCTTTCATTATCAAGCAACAAATGCATTCCATGCACCAACTAAGTTCAAGGAGAGTTCTATCTAGGTCCTAGGACAACAACATGCTGAGGTGTGTATGTGGCAGAACCATCTCAGTTTCCTCCTGGTTTGAAGAAGAGATCAGACATGCTGTCACATTCCAAGGCACAATGAGAAACTGATCTGATGCCAGATATCATTACGCTGAGCTTAAAGCTGCAACGTGTGTGGTACATTTGAGAGAAGTATTTCTTTTCAGTGTTGGAGCAGCCTGTGCCACCAGCTCATGAAACATTGACTAGGAGTGAAAACTCATCCACAGAGAGAAATGTGAGAAATGGAAAAAGGAAAGCAGTACACTGTGACTCCTATTAATACTGGGCAGAAAACTGAGAACCAGAGCTGAAATGGTGTGCATTGCACCTGAAAGAAAAGAGAAATCAAGGTGTCAGTTCCATGCTGAAAAGGGAAAGGGAGACTGCGTTCATGTAACAGTGAGGGGGGGAGGGTACTGTGTGTGTGTGTGTGTGTGTGTGTGTGTGTGTGTGTGTGTGTTGTCTTTACTATTCCTGGCCACAGGAGAAATAGGCTTTTCATATGGGTCACACAATTAAAGGATACAGGGAATTCCAGCTCTGCATGCACCTCCCACTACTTCACACCATACAATGCTCCCCAACTGTGTGAATGTTTATTGCACAATGCATGAAAGAAGCTGTACCCTACTAGCTATGTAGGTGGGTGAATTTGTGTTTCACAGTACAAGGACATATGGGAACCCTTACTATATGGTGTTATATCACACCCTGCAGGGGACAAAAGATCCTACTGTTTCAGTGTTCTGTGTGTGTGTTTCTAACTCTACCACGATCAGAAAGATAAAATATATTTGCTGCCACAAGGCAAATGTTAACTAGCATACTGAGAATAACATGCTAGTGGTACTGGTATGGGGACATTGTACCAGATACGGCCTGAAATGAGTCTGATTGCAGTCTCAGCAGAGTGACACACAACCTTTATTACACTATAGTTGTTGGGAACTGAAGAAATCCAGTGTTTACATAGCAGGGTTGTTGGAAGAGTGCAACAGAAAGATGTCCTAGATGTACAGTGGTACCTCGGGTTAAGTACTTAATTCGTTCTGGAGGTCTGTTCTTAACCTGAAACTGTTCTTAACCTGAAGCACCACTTTAGCTAATGGGGCCTCCTGCTGCCGCGCTGCCGGAGCACGATTTCTGTTCTCATCCTGAAGCAAAGTTCTTAACCCGAGGTAATATTTCTGGGTTAGCGGAGTCTGTAACCTGAAGTGTATGTAACCTGAAGCGTATGTAACCTGAGGTACCACTGTATATGAAGGAGATATTTGTGCTTTTGCAACACAAGACATTGTGTTTCAAGGTCACAGCATTCATCCACCCATTGTATTAGTGGAATCTTTATACCATATACTAATCCTAGGAAGGACAAGTGTAGAGAAGTTTAGAAGTTGAAGAATAAATGTAGTTCCTGGTTCAGAGCATGCATCTGTTTTGGTCTGCCTTACATCTGGCACCTGCACATGAGGCCTCACTGTGATCATTCCACCCCAACCCTTCTGTTTCTTCAATCTTCACCAGACTCTTCATGAAAGTCATATCCACCTCTGCTTCCAGGGGTCTTTCTATATCCATTTAGATGCTGCGCCAGTTCCATTAAACATACCAGCAATATATTGTTTGAATTTATTTAAAACTATACAACCTTTAACAGTAAAATATGAATGATGTGACAGCGCTATCACTGTTGCTCCTTCCTTAGCATGTGGGGTATTGTTCTGAGGCCCAAAGATATCAGTGTGGGGTCCAGTTTGGAACAGAGGCTGTAAAGAGGCAGAAAGACTAAAATCAATCACTAACCTTAGTCTAAGCTTTAATGTTAGACTAACGTGTGTGTGTGTGTGTAAACGGCATAGAGGTTTTAGTTACAATCAAGCAATATACCAGTTTTGTTGAATAAATAGCCTTAACAGGAAGGTTGATGTTGAAAGGCAGAGAGAATGGAAGTGAAAAATGTCTGCATTTGTCTTCCCCAGCAAAATTAACCCATGGCAAATTTCCAGGACATTTTTGTGTATGGAAAAAGTGCAGTTGGTTCTATGAAATTTTACTTTTCAGAGAAGAAAAAAAGCGCTGGAGTTGTCTGTATGTATTCCTGGAATTCATCCATAAAACTGTAGGTGTTTCCAGTCTGTCACTATTTTCAGGTGGAATCCAATCATATACCAGAAAATTCAGGTTGCATGCATATAGTTGATTGGGAGGTGTTACACAAGAAACCTGCTTCCCTAAACGATCAGACATTTTACAATAAGAAAAGTGATGAGGGAAAATGTTCTGGAAACTGGGATAACAGTTGCTTGGATGCAATGTCATCTAACCTCTCCATGAACACCAGAGTGAAAGCTCATTAAATAACTAATGTTTACTAATCTCCCTGCAAACAAATCAGAATGAGTGCCCAATAAAAAGGCCGTCTGGTTTGATTAAACCTGAGAAGCTCTAGACTCCAGTTTCCAAACAGTGGCCAAATTAAAACAGCATAACACACAATATTGCCCTTTTGACTCTGCAGGTACCTCTCAGATGCTTGATACTGCCAGCCTACTGTCCAATGATGCAATGGGTTATGTCACTTACTTAGTTGGGCACAGTCGTCTGATGGAGAGCAGCAAAGCGGCGGTCATGGGGAGAATCACGATAGAATGGATCAACTGTTGTAATTGTCCTGAAATGCAGGAGGAGAAAGAATTACAAAAAGAAAGGTCAGTTGGGGAAACATAGGGGATTGAAAGAGGAATCATACAGTAAAGGAAGGTCAGAGAAGAAGAGCTACAACAAATCCAAGATTACCTGCCAACATGAGGATGGATTGTCCTCAAGGTCTCTGTGGCATTGGGGTCAGTGCCTAAGTCAGTGGCATGGTTGTTAGTAGCAAAACCACCAGGCTGCTGTGGCTGGATCCCTCCTCGTGTCCAGCCTTCCCTATCCACTCCCTTTGGAATGTTTTCATAAAACCTGAATGAGAGAAAGGATGAATTATTCCATGTGTAGTCGAACTCACCTGCTGCCTCCGTTCTCCCTCAAACAAAATCAGGTGTGTGTGTATATATCCTGCAAACAATGCACTTCTACAAATACCTGTTTCAGTACACGCCATCCACACAAACAGGCCCAACAGCTGCACAAACCTTTGCTGTTCCAGTACTCCCACAATGCACTCTCTAAAGCCACTGCATGAAAAATACCTGAAGGATAAAAGACCTGCAAGGCTTTTATGCAGATAGGACAGGGGTCAGCAAACTCGGGCCAGTGTCTCAGTGCTGATCGCGCGGCAGGGCAGGGGACCGCGTGCACACATGCTATTTCCAGCGCACTTCCAGGTTGGAGGAGCACCGGAAATAGCTCGTGTGCATGTGCATGAGCCTCCTCCAACCTGGATGTGCACTGGAAATAATGCAAATAACGTGCATGTGCACAAGCTATTTCTGGTGCTCCTCCGATCCGGAAGTGGGCACCGCGCAGCACAGCGCCGGTAAGAGTGGACACCAGGGGTCACCACAGGCCAGATAAACATGTCCCTCAGGCATTATCTGGCCCACAGGCCTTAGTTTAGGGACCCCTGAGATAGGAAAATGGTACCTTAACAACAAGACATAGCCTGGGAATGTTACTTCTCCCAACACAGGTGGCCACCCAGTGTCAAACTTACTTGGAGTTATAGCTAGTCAGGAATCTGTTGGGCAGATCTGGATCATGTGCAGGTGTCACATATTTAAGGTTATTGAGGCTGAATCCTGTTGGTTCCTGCATAGAGAGGTCCATGAAAAGAGTAAGGGTCTAGTACCATAGGAGCAGAGCAAAGTGCCCAACAGATTATGAAGACGTAAGGCCTTGAGACTGTAGTTCAGGCATACCTTGTGACCCACTTGTTCCCGACCTAGAAGATTGTTCTGTGTCTGAGGTTGATGCTGAAGCCCTTGGAACTGAGAGTGGCTCAGGGGACCTGGTGCCTCTACATCTGGTGGAACCGTCTGTGGAGATTGAAGGTCATGAGTGAAGAAACTGTTGTGGGCAGTGGAGGCTGGTCCATTAAGGCCCTACCAACCTTGCCTGCCTCCTCACAATCAGTCCATGGGGAGGCAGTGACTGTCAGCTTCTTCCTCCTTTGTCTCAGCCTGCCTGTCATTGACTCTTGACTACCGCCTATTGTTGGCCTCCTGGCCTTCCTCCCCACCAATCCCAACATGCCCAGCCACCCTAGGTTGTAGGAGTTACTGAAGAAAGGGAGGCAACAAGGAAGATGGATCGAAATGAGGAAGGTTGTCTGTAAGATAGCCACGGATGGTAGTAAGAGGAACAAGCAGAGACTCAGGAGAGGCTTCTGTTTGCGGACTCTGGCAGTGGAAGACAAATCCCAGAGAAAGCAAGAAAAGGGCCTAAAGAACAAAGGCAGGTAGAAAAATAGGTCACGTCAGGCAAAGCTACATGAAAATGTAGATAAAAGGAAATAAGAGATGCTGGCAGGGAGAAAGTGGCAGAGACTTCTAGAGAGAGCAGTGAAGGGAGATTGTGTAAGTAGGGAAGCAGTTGGCAGAGGGAATGTACTAAAGGAAGCAGGACAGGTCTTCTGGTGATAAGGGAGTGTCACTTACTGGGGTACGGCCAAGATTCTGCCGACTGAATCCAGATCCCCTCTCAGAACCCTTTGACAGGACTGGTAGGAACTCATCACCCTGTCGGGAGGGGGACATATCAACGGTGAGTACATCACATGCAAACAGCCAACAAAAGGAAATACAGGAAGGGGGAAATGGCACTTTTGCCTAACCGGCAAAGCACATCCCTTCAACTGATTTTACAGGTCTCCACCAGTAACAACCCTATTACAAATGGTCTCCTTACATGTGCAAAGGAAGATGGCAGATAATCTGTCTTGGTAATGCTGACTCCTGGAGCGCTGCTCTGCAAAGCAGAAGACAAGTACTGAGACTCAGGGAGAGGAAAGTAGACAAGAGGAAGCACCGGTTCCATTACAGCTTCTACTTGGGAGCAGGCAAGCCTGTCTTAGGAGCAACTAGTTCAGCCTTCCAAGATACTGTGCTGATTGGGACTGGCAGGAGTTTTTATCCAAAGCACCTGGAAGGAACCAGCTTGGGAAGGGTTGAACTAGTGGTATTTTGTCCTTAATTGCATGGAATCATATTCCTGCTATAGTGAAACTGCAAGGACCTATGGGCTGCACTTGAACATTCATGGCTAAATGTACAGAGAAACTAGATTTGCTTTTGCCTTTAACCTCTCTTAAAAGCAAAGTACCCACAGACCAAGACTCAGGTACAGGAAAAGTGGAACCTGTAACAAAATATTGCAGGGTAGAATGCTCTTGTTCTGGGTTCTTACTAGCTAGTGATCCCCTTCTCCAGGAAACTTCATTCCATTCCTCCCACCCTCAGCAGCAAGCATGCCATGCCCACTGAGCACGCACAGTCTTCTTGGTGCTTTTAGGTTTCTGGAAAACCTGGAAGTTCTTCCAAGCCTGCTAGTGCCTCTTTTTGGTATGTGCTTGGTGCCTTTTTGGCTACATAAGAATAGGCACTATCACATCATATGAATATATGAAGAGCCTTGCTGGTTCAGGTCAACAGCCCATCTAGTAGGACATCCTGTTCTCACAGTGGCCAACCAGGTGCCTGTGGGGAGCTCACAGGAAGGACATTAGTGCAACAGCACTCTTCCCGCCAGTGATTTCCAGCAACAGCCATTCAGAGGCATACTGCCCCCAACAACGGAGGTAGAACAAAGCCATTGTGGTTAGTAGCCACTTATAGCCCCATCCTCTGTGAATTTGCCTAGCCTTTTAAAGCCATCCATGTTTGTGCCCATCGCTACTTCTCGTGGGGGCAAATGCCTTAGTAAGTGAGGAGCACAGGGGTCAGGAGAGATCGATCCACTGTTCAAACTAACAAGCAACTTGACTAGAGTAGGAGCACCATATTCCACTGGGCTCTGCAGGTTAATGCTTAATGTGACCCACGGCGAGAACAGCAGCATATACAGAGTTTACTGGAGAAACCTGAGATTTGTCCATAATGGGGTTTGCCAGGCAGCCTTCAGTAAAACCAGTCTCTTCTTTGGCTCCAATTGTTTTCTTCTGCAGGAAATCTGTATGGGGGGAGAAGAGAGATGAAGTGATAACATGAGGAAAAGGAGCACACTGAAGAAAGAAGGCAGAAGACTTCTGTAAATAGCAGTGGCGACATAACAGTACAAAAATTAGACAGCAAGCTGTTGGCTGAGGAAGGCAGAGGGCATGGGTAAGATAAGTGGTGAAAAGGTGAGAGCTGTATTTTACCCGGTATTTAGCTCCAAGCATAAAAAGGTGTGTCAAACTAATAATTCCACACTCTGACCTGCAGAAACATATTTAGCAATTCCATCTCTCCAGAGAAGAACCCACATCTCCTTTCCCTGCATTATATTGCACTTTCCGAATGTGCTACCAGCCAGACCGCTACACCACATACATTCCTGCTCCTGTTCTTGTAGTGTATGTTTTTCCTTGCCCATGTGGCCACAACTATTCCTTTTCCATGCATACAGCTTATGCATCACATCCATGCAATAAAATTTGTTGCATAAAAGCTGAGTGGAATCCCTGATATTAGAAGCAAGTGGAGGGGGGTGTCGGTCATTCACAGGTTCTACATGCCAATACTGTAATCAGTGGGCTAATGGAGTTTGTGACTGAAGGGGCAATTTCCCTTTGTGTAACCTTGCGCTTTACCCATGTCAAAAGGGCTGTGCGCTGGTGCTGGCTGTGCTAGAAGATCTGATCCTATCTGAGGGAGCCCTACGGAATGTGGCTAAAGATGTGGCTGTGAATTACTTCCAGCCCACTACGCAGAGAGCCTTGCACATTATGTGTGGCAAAGCGGGTGGACTGGGTTCAGTGATGTTCCTGTTGTCACTGTATGTTGACTGCAGTTTTCTAAAGTCCAAGCATTACAAAGAAATGCTAATGTAGCAATTGTGGCAGCCACTCCCCCCAGCAACACTGTTGATGGACTATGTCGAAATGGCAAAGATGACCGTGAAGATCAGACACCAAAAAAATTAGGGGGGGGGAATGATAGAATATCTTAAAGATAACTGTAGATGCTTTAAAAAGTTAGCAGGATTGTTATAACACGTATAATGTAATATGATTTAAGGTAAAAAAGGAGATAAAATGAAGTAGAAAAATGTAATTAGATGCAAAAAGGGGGGGTCAGAAAGGGGGGGAGTCCGAGGGATCTAAGTAATCCCAGAAGCATAGAAATTTAAAATGATGTGAATGTATCAAAATATTGTTTAAAAGATGAAAATAAAATATTAAAAAAACAAACACTGTAGGATGGGAAGGGTAGGATCAATTATTATCATTACCATTACCAGGGCTTTTTTCAGCTGGAACTCACAGGAACTGAGTTCCAGCACCTCTCAGGTGGACACCGTTGCCATTCTAAGAGAACAAGGGAGGTGCTCATGGTGAAAAATAGCACTGATTATTACCCACCAATCACTAAGACATTTGCCAATGACACGCCCACACCATCAATGCATGAAAGGCAAGCTGCATGTAGACTGATGCCTTTCATGCATGGGTACCGTGGGAGCATCAGTGGTGAATTTCATAGTGATTGGTGGGCAGTTGCAGCGTTGCTGTGGGATTGGAAGCCCTGCTGAATCAACCCAAAGGCCCATCTAGTCCAGCATCTGTTTCTCACAGCAGCCAACCTCTGGAAAGCTCACAAACAGGACAGGAGGGAAAGAGCTTCTTCCTGCTGTTCCCTAGTGGCTGGCATTTAGAGACACACTTCCTTTGCTCCTGGAGGTAATATCTAGCCTTCGTGAATATAGTAACCACTGAGAGCCTTATCATCTGTTGAGAGTCTTATCCTCCGTAGTTTATAATGACTCAATATATAATCTCACAATACTCAGAAGAAAGTCCTTTTGGATTCAGTGGGGCTTACTCCCAGGTTAGTGGAGTTACAATTTCAGCTGTACTCTTGTCTCTAAAATGCACATACCTATATTATGAAGTAATCTAATGTAGCAAGTGATAATGACCACTATAGAAAATATGGTGATGCCTATATTTTGTCCAATATCAGAGGCAGTATGGCGCTGAATACCACTTACTGGGGATCACAAATGGGAGAGGGCTACTCATGATAGTTTAGCCAGTTGGACAGGTTTGTGGGTTCAAGCCCCATGTTGGGCAAAAGATTCCTGCATTGCAGGGGTTGGACTACATGATCCACAGGGTCCCTTCCAACTCTGCAGTTCTGTGATTCTATGTTCTGGCTGTGAGCTTCCCATTGGCATCTAGTAGGCTGTGCTAGAATGGAAAGGGCTTTGGTCAGATTCAGCACAGCTGTTACAAAAATGAAAATCTGCAGCAGACTAGAAAGAAGGCCTCTGAACTGCAAAATTCCAAAGCAAAAATCAGACGTGTACAGAAAAAACATTCTTTCAGAGAGCTGCATCGATTTTTCACTGCCACCTTCAATGTGAATTTATTTTCAGACATGAGAGTGATTTGTGCATTTATATCTTTCACATGAAATGTGACAAGCTGTCCCAAGAATTCCAAGTTAGACTTCCATTATAAAATCTCTAACCTCCACCCCCCAAGTTGCAGAAGGTGACTTAAATGTCAACGTCCCCACAGGAACATTTTTAGAAAAAAAGGCAGAAAACAAATATCCCAATTTACATTTTAATCTAAAAATTTCTGAAGACTGTGGGTGGCAATATTGATATGTGCCGCCGTTAAAAAAAAAAAGAATTCAGCTGGGAGTTATTTGTGATTTGGATCTAGTCCAGACTACTGCTTTAACTTCCTAAATATGGATTTAAAAGAATTTTAAATTCAAAGAACACGGAGGTGAGAATGACATATTGCAGCATTACATAAATACAGAATAAGAAAACTGGACAAGAATATATCTCAGGATGCTACCTTTGTGAAAGTGGTACTATATTATATATGGTCTATTTTTAATAGTAAAGTAATAATTTAATGCAGATCTAAGAACACTTAATTTTCTAGTAGATGGTGACCAGCTTCTTTGAATCAAACTGAATCTGTTTCTCGTGTTCCCTTTTTGTTTAAAGACTGCCTATCTCCTGAAAACCATACTGTGCCTGGATACAAAATGAAATATCTAGACTGAACAAACACAAGTGGCTTCTTAACAGAACCACGGACTTCAAGTATCCTTAGAGCAAGGATGGAGAACCTGTGGCCCTCCAGTTGTTAGACTCCAGCTCCCATCAGTCCCAGACAGAATAGCCAAAAGTCAGACTGATGTGAATTGTAGTCTGATGGCATCTGGAGGGCCCCAGGTAAGTGTATTGTTTACTTAGATGATACATGTGTGCTTAGTCTTGGGCATAACTCACCAGTCATTACATCCCTGAAAAATGTCACATAAGAAACACAAGAAGCATTTATCACTTTGATGTGATGTCTAGCTGCCTAAATACCCCCTTCTAAACCAATGGTGGGGAACCTTTGGCCCTCCAAATGTTGTTGAATGACAACTCCCATCATCCCTGACCACGATATTGGCAGGTTGATTGTTATGAAGAAGCAGACAGCTCCCTTTCTTATGAGTGGAGTATCAATATTGTGCACGAGGATGAAGCTCTGTCAGCTATGAAGAATAATTACCTGGTTGTCCTGGAATGTCAAAGCGGTACTTTGAGTTGTACTCCGTGGACATGTAGTGAGGTCCCTGCAAATATGCAAACAGCAGTGGAGAGTAAGACCAAATACTCCAGATGGAGTCTCCTACTTGCCCTGCCAGTAGGGTTTCCAATGCACTGTTCCACATCCATCCTGCTTCTCTGTTTAAGGGCAGACCAATTATTCCTGGGGTAACAGTTCTCAGCTTTCCAAAGTTATCTTGCTCTCTCCCATGACTTTATCATTTATCCTTTACTGATCCTTATGCCTGGAACTCCCACCTCTCTCACTTCCTGCAAACCCTTCCTCAAAGCCTGTGTTTTCTGGGAAGCATTTGGCACAACCCCCTGCTCCCCATACACTACTGTAACTAAGACTAAGCAGGCACAATTGGAATAATCTCATATTCTTCCCATGTTTTCCTGTAGCGCCATTTCCCTCCACATGGTCTATTCTGCCCCCATATGTCAATTTCTACATTTTAAGCAGTGATGTAAGGAAACTGGGGGTACAAAACTTCACAGCCTCTTTCAGCCAATGAAGTACCAGGGTAATTGACACAATCCTTATTGCTCTGATTCAAGCTTTACTACCATTTGTGACGGATTAGCATTGGAGAAGTCAGAGGATAAGGAAAATAAGGAGAGACTTGTCTTTGGTCAGGTTCCTATGCTGCCCTAGCAGTTTGAATAGCAAGTGTGTGTGTGTGTGTGTGTGTGTGTGTGTGTGTGTTGTTTTTTGTTGTTGTTGTTGTTTTTGCATTTCTAATTAAAAGCTAAAGATTGCATTTACAAGCTGAACAGCGCTAGTGACCCACCCATCCTGCCACTGCCACTAGTGTAGCAGTGATGGCAGCAACAGCAGCAGCGACAAAATCTTGTGCAGTCTCACAAAAGTCAATTTCATGCAGTCTGCAATATCTCGCAAGAGCACCACAAGATCTCACCGGAACCCACCACCATCTCTGATGCTTTGTGGGCACCACTGCACAACCTAAGTAAGAGAGGCTTTGACAGGGGATGTCTCAGTGACAGGGTGGCACCTTCCTGTTTCCCTTCAGGCAGCAAAACACCCCTAAATTCAACCTATGCATCCAGCATAAGAATTGCTGAGTTCAATGGAGCTTACTCCAGGTAACTGTGTGTCGGATTGAAGTCATGCTATATGGCTGATCAGGGATGTGAACCCAGGTTTCACCAGCCAAATTCTAACATGTTAACCAATATGCCAGGTATCTTCAACCTTTTGAGTACCCAGGACCCCCTTTTAATCCAAACTTGCATCTGGGGATCCATTTCTTAAATCTCTAATATATGTTTGCATGGTAGTAGTGCTCCTGTTATGACCCACTTTTGATCAGGCCGTGCCCCATGAATGGGTCCCGACCCACCAGGTAAAGGACCAGTGTGCTATACCATCCCTTGTCAATTCACTATTCTAGGACTGCATTTTATTCTGTCACACTTTTCCCCCTCTCCCATACAGACCACCTTAGGATGACATCACGCTTGTTCATAGTTCAATGATTGAAATGTTGAGTGATGACTTGTAGGTGTGAAACAACCTTCACAGATCAAAGAATGCAGACTAGAGCTTTCCTATTAGCTCACATCACCACAGACAATACTTTTCTATGGAGGCAATTCACACCTTCTGGTGCAAGTCATCAAGCAAGGAGACAGGCATATGTGAATCAAGCTTTAGATCAGGAGTGAAAATGAGGACTATGGGGATAAAATTGGATCACTTTCTATATGGAAAGGTACTTGGTTTTGCAGTAACCCAGGGAGGTCAAGCTTTTCCTGCCAATACTTTCACTGTATGCTAAAATATTGGTTTTCAACAGGTTTGCTGTGAGCAGCAGTGCAAGCACAATTTTAAAAATATTTTCGCCCATTGCGGATTATGAGGACACGAGTAGAGAAAGTCATGCATAAAATGGAAACTCCCCTTTTATTTTACTGCATCTGGTGGTGGATATAAGAGCCAAACCTAGGACCCTGGATTCCACACTGGCCAACCAGATGCCTATGAGAAGCCCAACACCAGGACCTGAGTGCAACAGCACTCTCTCTATTTTTGTATTTCCCAGCAAATGGTATTGAGAGGCATACTGTCTCTGATAACTGAGGTAGTACATAGCCATCAGGACTGGTAGCAGCCATTAACAGCCTTATCCTCCATGGCTTTTTCTAATCTCCTTTTGAGGCTGTCCAATTTGGCAGTCGTCACTACATCTTATACAGTAGGAGCAAGTTCAATAGCTTACGCACTGTGTGAAGAAGCCAGACCTTCTGGCCCTGAGTTCTAATGAAAACTCCCCTTTATACCTCTTCTGTGATCAGGTACTGCCTAAGCTACAGTCAAATGAGGAAGGGCCCATTGAACTAGCAGCTGACTCACATGTCTGGCATGTTCCACATCGACAGAACCTCTTCCATACAACTTGTGCAGGTCAGGGGTATGTTTAGGCTCCAACCCTGTTATAGCTTGGGCTCCCTGGTCTGCTGTGTCAAAATGGACTTTCTTGACCTGCAAAATGAAGCCCAGCTTGCAATTTGGAAAGTTAAGTATGAATACCACAAATACCAGAACTGAAGTGATACTGTTCAGGGCTATTGTTGAGAAAGGAGGGGAAAGAACAGTCAAAAGTGAGCAGGAAAAGGCATATATAAAATGCATCTTGTATCTGTCCCCTTCTCAGAAGTGGTAGGGAGTCATCTTCTTCATGGCTGAGCCCTTGATCACAGCTCTAATTAAAACATTAGGAAGCGAGTGAGGTCAATCAGTGAAGCTACAAGGCTTCATGCTCCCATATCTCATTCATTTCTTCATTTTCCTATACACTCCAAACAAAATAATGAGAATTTCAGCTTATGTGTTTCCAACAGAATAAAGGTCTTTCCTGTGGCAGTGAATGCCTTTAAAAACATGATTACGGGGGTGGGGTGGGGTGGGGGTCTGAAAGCCCACAATATAGAAGACAAATCAAAAGAGAGACACTTTGTTTTTAGTATTCACACAACTGTAAAGCAATTCTGAAATTATAGAGGAACCGGGTTTGGCAGATACTAGGGCTCAGTCCTACTGCGCACTTCCCAAGTCTCAATCCCTCACACAGCTAAACTGTTCTCAACACAGTGTCTGGGTTTAAAAGGAAGCGATCCTTGTTCAAATGCCTCTTTTCTACCACAACATGTTCCACTTGGTATATAACCCAGGTCACAATCATATTGGCATGCACACACATACACCAGCAGCAGCTCTCCTTAGCTCCATCCTGCACTTAATTAGAACAATTCATTAATGAGTCCCAGTGCTTTAGGTGCAGAACTGCCAACTGGACAATATTTTACTGATATGTCTAGTAAAAGCATAGTCTGGTAGTATATAGGCTTCTGAAAACCCCACTAATCTGTCTCAACAAAACCCTAGGCTATCGAGCTTCACCCATGATTACTAGTCTATGTAGCAAGGCTCATATGTGACTCAGGAATGTCCACTCTGACTCTCAAAGGTTATGAATGGATCACTAATACTAATGTACACTTATGCACTCCTGCCCCATAACCATCCATATTCCAAACCTTAATTTACTTACATGGTGCCTTTATCTATAAATGTATCACATTACAGCACAACTTTATGGGCATTTACTCAGAAGCAAGTTCTACTGTGTTTAATGGGGCTAGTAAGCATATTTAAACTGAACAGAGTGTGACTTAATTCTGAACACCAGCATTTATGGGATTGCACTGCACCTACTGACTTCTTTCTGGCTCCTTGTACCATCAAAACGTGACTCCTCTTCACATCTTGTATTTCTGAAGCTCTGTTCGTTTTGGATCCTCATATACACTTGCCAGATCACATCAGTTTACACATCCTGGCTTTTGTGTTTTGCCCTGCATCACAGTAGATTCTCTTAGACCTCATGGATATATAGAGAGAAGCCTAGAAATGGAATGACTCCTAAATGCTCAGAATTTAGTCTTGCAAAACATCCTCCTTCCACACATGCACTGCCACAGTTTTGTGTTGATACATCAGATTGAAATTCACAACGCAGGTGATTCATGTATGCATTATCAGTTATGGTAACTATCAGGCACATGGTCCCTTTAAGAGAAAAAGCTATGACCCAGGATGCAGGCTCTTGGAGAGCTGACTCAGAAGGATGGAGAAGCTGCTCAAATAAAGGCCTTGCCACTTGCTAGATGGATGTCAGACTTTGAGCTGCCTCATTGCTGAAGCTCTAAGCTCCAGCCTTCCTGAACTGAAGAAATAGCCCAAGCCATTATTAATGGCACTAGGTGATAATTTTGGCACATTACAAGCATGTTCAATAGCACAACAATCCACCACACAGAGGCAAATCCTAGGTTTGGGATACTTACCTCTTTAGTGGTGGGGAAAGAAAGAGGTTTTTCTCGAACATACCCACTCCCTGGCTGGTACACACTCCAGGGAAGAGGATATTTCCCATCTGGGAGCTCAAGAGGCTGGAAGTGCTTGGTTGTTGTCGATTCATAATTGTCCTGAAGGAGCTTCCTGGTTTCGGAGAAAAGACTAAGCATGAGAGACATTAATAATAATAATAATAATAATAATAATAATAATAATAATAAATTATTTATACTCCACCCATCTGGCTGGGTTTCCCCAGCCACTCTAGGCGGCTTCCAACATAATATTAAAATACAATAGTCTATTAAACATTAAAAGCTTCCTTAAATACACAGCATCTGAACTTAAGAGACACAGTGGATATTAATCAGGTTATGTTTAGGCATGTTAGAATTGTGCTCTAAAGACAGCCATGCTTTCTATCTCCTAAAGTGATGCGTTAGTCCAGGCAACCCAAAAGATCACTGTCTTTGGCCCTTCCAGTCATCTACACTGCATATGGATACCACGGTGAAGTGCCAAATGCAATTGCCTTGCCATAGACTTTGTTATTGTGCTTTGAGGGAGTACAAGTAAAGCAAATGCAAGCATGTCACTGACTCAGAGGTGACATGAGCATTATGAGGATGTGATTATGTTTCACAGCTTTCCCCAATCTGGTACCCCCAAAATGCTCTGGGCTACAGCTCCCACCTGCCAGAGCCAGCACAGCCAATCACCAAGAGTGGTAAGAGCTGGAGCCCAAAACGTCTGGAAGGCAGCGGGTTGGGTGGTATGCAAACCACAAGACAGTTTCCCTGTTCTGATCCATCCCAGTTAATTTCCACAAAGTATACAACCAATACCTACCCCACAGTTGGATTATCTATTTTGTCTAGGCTTGGCTTGTAGTGGACGACGGGACGGTAATTGGTTTTATATCCTGCTCCAGAGTGGATGCTGGTCCGAGGACGAAACCCTGCTTGACCTGGCAAAGGAAAGGGAGACAATGGCAGATTTGTATTGCCTATTTATATCTTCACTTACTTACTGCATTTATAAAGCACTGTTTTCCCACTGCACACTCAATATAGTTTACAATATAAAATAATAACTAACTAATTGTCAATTTAGGTAGGTAGCCGTGTTGGTCTGACGCAGTCAGGGAAAAATAAATTGTCCAGTAGCACCTTATAGACCAACTAAGTTTGTTCTGGTATAAGCTTTCGTGTGCATGCACCAGAACAAACTTAGTTGGTCTATAAGGTGCTACTGGACAATTTTTTAAAAACATTTTTTTAATCTAATTGTCATGACACAGAAGGGAAGAGATGGGGAAGGAAAAGGAAAACCAAGCGAATTTGAGTATACTAACTCTTGCATGATTGGAGCGAGGTGTTACATAATGTTCAGGTGGGATGATCACTACAGCAGAGGAGTGGAGGAGCTACATGGCAGTTGACCCCAACCGAATGAAGAGAGATGCCGTGGGGCAGCTGCAAATAGTGGCTGTTCCAGGAGGATAGGGGCCAAATGGTAGTTTGTCTCAGCTAGGCTGATAAAGGGGTCCTCACCTTTCCCCCTAATGCACCAGGTATGATGGCTCCAGATGGAAGCTACTCTGGTAGGAAAAAGGCAAATGGAAATTGGTGCCAGCCAAGCTGACAGAGGAGGCCTCACTGCCATTTCTCTCTCTGCAAAAGCCACTGCAAGAATCAATTCTGAAGGATGGAAGCTTCATGCATATTAGAAGGTGGGAAGGGGTGGGGCTTCTCCAAGAACATTATTGTAATCTTTGGTGCTTTGACCTATGATAATATCTAAGCTTCAAATCGAGGCTGGGTCCTAATGTCAAAAATCCCAACTGCATATTATTTCATAGTCTTATGTTTTATATCTATCCATATTGTCCATAATATTTGCTACATTACAAGTGGGGTTAAAACCCTGCCAATGTTTTATAAACTTTTCCCATTCTTTCTTGGATTTCTTGTCTTCTTGGTCTCTAAGTTTCCCGGTCAGTTTTGCCATTTCAGCAGAGTTTCACAGCTTAGTTTGCCAGTCCTCTCTGGTAGGAACTCTTTCTTCTTTCCATCTCTGGGCTAGTAGCATCCATGCTGCTGTTGTTGCATACATGAAAAGTCTTTTCTGTTCCTTTGGAATGTCGGTACCTCATAAAAAGGCTTCTGTTTTTTTAACAAAAGTTTTCAATTTATTTTGAATGGGTTCCCAACAATCAAGGCTCAAACGTTACTAAATGTTGCACATGATGGGAGCTTGAATCTCATAATTTTATTGTTATTCATGTTTTTATACCGTATTTTATACTGCTTTTATAATTAAGTGTTTTAAAGTGTTTTAAATTTGTTGTTAGCCGCCATGAGCCCAGTTTTTGAACCAGGAAGGGCGGGGTATAAATAAATTATTATTATTATTATTATTATTATTATTACAACAACAAGCCTGGGATTGGGATTATGCCTGAACAGCCTACCATCCTTTTGGGCAGTTAACACTTTCCTTTGTTTGATATGACCAACCTAGCCACAGATAAGATAAATCCCTTCCCTTATTGAAGATGTCCTTACCATAAGCTGTGCCATAGCTGGTACAGTAGAATTTCATGGGGTCCATACACCCACCAGAGCTAGTTTTTACATAGGGAGAAACAATCCCTAGGGGGAGACGACCCATCTTCTCTGAAGATACAGAGGTGGATTTACTGACGAAAGGTTTCCCTGGAGGAATAGAAATGGAAGATGATTGACCACTAATCATTCTGGATAGCAGGAATGCGGCTCAGCCTCTGGACAAAGAAATCAGTCTGACTTGAAGCAACTGTTCAATCTGCATTGTGTGCATGTCTCCTTAGAAACAGTGAGGTCACACACACAGCATTGTGATGTCACAGACTCAGGATTTTTAAAGGGAGTTAATGATACAAACCAGGCCATTCGTGGTCTTAATACATCAGGGTCAGGTCTTAAACGCTCCTTATTGGTTGCAGGTGCACTGTAAACTGACCCCGCCCAAGTGAAGCAATGGAACCAACTCCTTCCACAAAAATGGAGATGCCAGAATATACCATTTTACCTGAAGATTGTAAAAATATTCAACCTTGCTATTCTGTTCCAATTGGCAAGTAAGACACCCTCAGAGAAATCCCTGTTGAAATGGAGGGGAACCACACAAGAGTAGGGTGGCACTTTTCCTTTTTATAGAGGCTTCTAGAGAAAAGCTTCCAGAAGAATTTGAAACACTGAAGATCAAGTAAAATGTTCAGGGATCTCCCAGTACTGGGTGGGTGGGTGTGAGTGTCCTTCCTTCTATGAATCAGGAACCAGTTCGTATGATAGTCCCCACCCCATGCTGTAGCCCATGGATTCTGCACACTCCACATAAAGCACTAGCTAATCTGTACCCCTCTCACAATTTCTGCCTGTCCTTTTTCTACAACTCTTCTATTGCATCTTTCTTGCTGTTCTTCTGCTGTCAATATATGAGTGCTTGTGGTGATTGTAGCACTGCACTATTATCAACATGTTTTCAATCTAACCACCTCACATTTACAATAACCTCTGAGTGGGAAATTGTTATGCTCCATATTCATTTCTAAACCTCCATTTTGTGTCCATTGGTGAGCAGCTGTGAGGAACCACTTTTTCTTAATTTTCCTTCATAAATTCTTTTTTTTTTTGCAAAAATTTTATTAGTTTTTATAATATCAACAACAAACAAAACATAACAAACATAAATCATAACCTTATTGAAAATAACAGTTATTTACTTTGTAAAATGACTTCCTCGTTTCCCCTCAGTTGAATTTCATTGCATATCCTTATAACGGTTTTCCAAATCCCAATTTTAATACCCTTTAAATTAAACATTAACATCTTTAAATCTTCTCCTTCTTGTATTAGACATATTATTTTATCAGTTAACATAAATACAATCCTAAGCCCATTAAGTATCTGGAAGCTATTTCCAATTATTTTAGCATTTTCCCTTCATAAATTCAACTGCTTTGTTGTGAAGTACCACAGAGAACTTTCCATTTTAATTTTCTCCGCCCTCCCAACACACCTGAAGTGCTATACATGTCCTGACAAAATAAATGGCACCAGTTAATAGGTCAGTTGAGAGACCACCTTACTCCTTATATATACAGCAGATTATTGTGTTCTGCAGGAGTCTCCCTCAAGTTCCAAAGATCTTAGAATCCCAGTTAACAGTAGCTGAGAGGAAGGCTTTCAATGTTGCTGCCCCTGTTCTGTAGAACAGCATTTCTGCCAAGATATGGCAGAGGCCACTTTTTGCATATTCCAGAAACAATTGAAAATATATTTGTTTTGTTGGGGAAATTTCTCACAGACAATTTAACCAAGCTTTCCCAGCTGGCTGAAGAGGCCTCTCTGCCTTAGATTTAAAAGCAATATGAATGAATACCTATCTCTAGGAGGGTTTGTTTTTTTTTGCATTGTTAGTTTTAAAAGCAATTTTTAGCTGTTTTTATTATATCCTGCATTGCAAGGGGTTGGACTCAAAAGACCTTCGGGGTTCCTTCCAACTCTATGGAAATCCAACACACATTTAGAGCTCATTATTTCCCCCAAGGAATCCTGGGAACTGTAGTTCTTTATGGGTGAACTGCAGCTCTGTGAAATGGAAACTACAGTTCCCAGGGTTCTTTAAGGGAAGCCATGTGTGTGGCATGTGCTTTAAATGCATGGTGTACATCTACCCTAAATCATTTTGGCGCGCACACATAGGTAATTCGTAAGTAAATAAATAAATAAATAACCTCCCAGCATGTGGCAAAGCACGGCCTGCCACTTGGGCGGGGGAAGGAGGCTCCAACCATCTTCTGCATTTGGAAGCCATGACCAGCAGCTCCACTACTTGGCCAGTCCTGCAGCATCTCACCCACGTGGCGAGGCTCTCCTCTTTGGAGCAAGGCAGGGAGAAGGTGGAGACAAGAACAATAAATGTTGCAGATGACGCCTCCTGCTTTGAAGTATAGCATACACACAGTTTTATTGTGCTTTTGCATGGGTCGTACACTTTGTGTATTGCCTTGATGGGGGGGGATGGGATAGAAAATTACTTATTGCCATTCACTGCCCCTTTTGTCAGGGACACTGACGCTAAGATTTTTACCTTCTTAATAAGTTATGTGTCTAGGACACATGCCTTTTTACCATAAGAACTACTGCAAAATTATTAACAGTGGTTACAGACTATTCTGCCCATCTGTCTAGTCTGGCTGCTGGCTCCCATGTTCCCTCCTGGGCAGGGGAAGCCAGGAAGCAGGGCAGGTGTGCAATAGACCCCTCCTGCCACCATTCCCCAGCCACTCGTATTCAGAACCATCCTACCTCTGATCCTGAAGACAGGATGTAGCCATCATGACTAGATGCCAATGGCAGCCTAATCCTCCATGAATTTATTTAATTCCCTTTTAAAAAACATTAAATCGAGCAGCTATCCTTTTGTCTTTTGGTAGTGAATTCCATAGTTTAACCACACGCAGTATGAAAAATACTCCACTTTCAGAATTAACGAGTCCCGAAATGCTAGGACCTTTCCTTGTAAAGTTTGTATTGGCTGCCCCTTTCCCGAGCCTTTTCCCGCTCTTCTGTATCCTTTTTTGGGCAAGGCAACCAGAACTGCACACTGTATTTTAAAGTGTGGACACACCACATATTTGTATGAAGATGTTTCCTTTCGTAACAATGCAAACTCTGAATTAATATTTTCACGTAGCTGTCTCAACATTTGCACTGAGCGTTTCCTGGTTGGTCGCCATCAGCTCAGACCCCATCAGCATATAGGATCTTTTTGCCCCAGTGTGCATCACTTGACACATAGGTGGTCATTGTTGTGCTTGGAGGTGGACTAGGACCTCGGAGCCCAGGCTTGAAAACCCTGCTCAGCCATTAAGCTGACTGGAAGCCACAGCCTCAGAGTCTAACCTACCACACAGGGTCGCTGGGGATAAAATGGGGAGGAATTGATCCATGTACACTATCCTGAGCTCCTTAAGTGGAAATATGGGATATAAATGGAATAAATAAATGAACTGCATTTGCCATTTTAATGCCTATTCAGCAAGTTCCACTTGGAATCCCATTTTGTTTCTATTGACCTGAATAATTTGATGGTCTCAGAAAATAGCCATCATTGTAGGAAACATTGCTGTACACACCAGACATGTTCATACACATATCTGGGAACCCAGCAAGAGAAATGAGATGCATACATATGTCCTTACATAGGGTTGTGCACAGAGTGTAGGGGAAAGACCTAAATCAGGTATTAAACCACATGACCACATCTAAACAGATTCTCCCAAAACAGCAATTAGCCGTTGCCCCTTATCTTGTCGTTTTTCTAAAAATTAATATTTCTAATCTTCCAAGCACAGAAAAGGGGGCGGGGGAAGGACTATTTAACTTAGGTACAGAAGCATAGTTCAGGGTCAGACCACATGTTTTGTGTCCAAAAGATCTAAAGTTCAGTCTCTGGTAGCTCCAACCAAAAAGGTCGTAAGCTTGCAGAGTTGGGGAAATCCTTGGCTGGTCACTTCCAGTCAAAGTACTGAGCCAGTGCAGTGCAAAGGAGACCAAAGGACACTGCAGAGAAGTTTGTGAGACAACATGAAGCTAAATCCACCATGGACAGCAGCCTGCAGCCACCAACCCCATTTCGCCTCGCGAGGATGACATTGTCCTTACCTGTCCCAACCAACGGGGCACTGCTTGCTGGCTGATGGTAGCAAGCAGAACTAGATGTCCAAAAGGAACGAACCATTCATTTATTTAAGGAACTGAAGTTGGGAACTTGACGAATGCAGAAAGCTGAAGTCTAGCAGCATGTAACCTAGCAACCAGCACCTAGCAACTAGCTCGACAACATTGCTCTCCTTCCAATGGCCTTATAGTTCAGAGGGTATTGGGAGCGACTGCATGGGCCCTGAGCACGCATGCCCAATACATACATGAAATGGTTCTGATTATTTGGATTCCTAAATATAGCCCTCACGGGGTTGAGGTCTGTGTGTTTCCTGAGCCATTGTCCCATTGTATTCAAGTTGAGCTACTAGATAGGAGCTGGGGAGGTATGCTGCAGTTGAACAAGGTAGAGTCACCAGAATCAGTGCTGCCCCCACTCCCATGTCCGTAAAACACAGAACAGTACCAAGTGGGCAGAAAGGAACATGTGTAAGGCTGCGTGCCTACTAAATGTCTGCAGTCACAGCTGTGCAGTGTAATTCAAGTGTAACTTTAGATGTCTGGCACACAACTCTTGAGAATTTAAGCCTTCGCCACCATTATCCCACCTCCCAATGTTCTGCATTTGTATCTGCGAAATAATATTTAAATGCTATTGTAAAGTCTTAGCAATATGAGTTGTGGGTTTCAGATAGCTCAGTTTTGGTGCTGTGTGATTCAGTTGCTTACCTAGGACTAAAATAAGTGTATTTGTGTTATATTTTACTCACGTCATTGAATGTGGCATTGCTTGACACAGAATCTCTGCAATCTGAACTCTGACATGGAAGAGAAATCTCTGAGCATACAAAATTAAAGATATGTAAGTTACACATCACTTTTGATCAAGGCTGCATGTGAATATTTAGTACTGAGCAAACATCATCATCATGCTTATAATGACACCATGTGGTAGTTTAAAGGTAATGCCATAGACTAGGTGGCTGCAAAGAAACATGTAACCTTAAGCATGACTTTTAAAGTTCTGTGTGGTAAGGGGTGGAGGGGAAACCAACTCTAGGAGGGCCAAGCTGTATTTCAAATTGTCACACAGCTAGCAAGTTTTAATAGGATTTTTTTAATTAAAAAAAGTACATGACATAAACCATGTTCTGTAGAAACCCCTGGGTGTCTGAAGGTGTTACTTATATGATTATTGAAGAAGTCACTGCTGGTCGGAAGAAAAAGTATTTATGTATCCTAGAACAATTTCAAACACCTGTTTTGAAAATACCTGACTCCCAGTAATTGACTGAAAAGTGGAAAAGAGCCTAACAGGGTTAGACACAAGTCACAGGGTACTGTTTTCTTCTTTTTGCACCATCAACTTCTAAAAATAGAATAGCGAAAGTTCATTCAGCTAGGAATGCTAGCAGTTGATTGGGTGAAAAAAGGAAATACAAGCAGACTGAATAAACAGTGTATGTTTATGAAAATTTATGAACAGAGACATAGGCTGATCTATTTGCTTTTTTATTTTTAAGTATTTCACATAAAATTGTCAAATGGAAGGGTGGTCCCCTTTGGAATAAGAAATTTGGAGTGAAGAACCTTGTTTTGTCAGCAAATGGCACACATTTTTGTGTTCTGGGAAATGATAATGTTCTTGTAAGTTAAATTCTACTTTCAGCTTCTAATTTTTTGTTCTCATTTTGTCTATGTTCAGAACTGCCCTGTGATCTTTGAATGAAAGGCACTATAAAAATGTAATAAATCATAGAATCATAGGGTTGGAAGGGGCCCAAGGGTCATCTAGTCCAACCCCCTACAGTGCAAAAATTTCAGCTAAAGCATCCATGATAGATGGCCATCCTATCTGTTTAAAAACCTCCAAGGAACAAGAGCCCACCACCTTTCACGGGAGTCTGTTTCACTGCCAAACAGCTCTTACTGCCAGAAAGTTTTTTCAAATGTTTAGTTGGAGATATTCATTGTTTAACATTATATTGTGTACTTCTATATTAAACTTTGGGACGCGGGTGGCGCTGTGGGTAAAACCTCAGCGCCTAGGACTTGCCGATCGCATGGTCGGCGGTTCGAATCCCCGCAGCAGGGTGCGCTCCCGTCGTTCGGTCCCAGCGCCTGCCAACCTAGCAGTTCGAAAGCACCCCTGGGTGCAAGTAGATAAATAGGGACCGCTTACCAGCGGGAAGGTAAACGGCGTTCCGTGTGCTGCGCTGGCTCGCCAGATGCAGCTTGTCACGCTGGCCACGTGACCCGGAAGTGTCTGCGGACAGCGCTGGCTCCCGGCCTATAGAGTGAGATGAGCGCACAACCCTAGAGTCTGGCAAGACTGGCCCGTACGGGCAAGGGTACCTTTACCTTTTATATTATATTAAACTTTGCTTGGTATAGCAAGTGGGTGGGAATTATTATACATCTGGGGGTGGGGGGAGACAGTGTGAGTATTCACTAACTGCCAAATTCATCAAATTACGACAACTACAAAGGACAGACAGTATCCATTCAATGCAGCAGCTGCCACAATATCAGACGGTAGCAAATAAGGGAAGAGGAGTGAAATGAATAGACACCGATACAGATAGGGTCAGCAGGGAGGAAAACAATAACCATGTGCCACTGGTTTTTACTGACAAGTGCCAGCTAAAACCTTGAGTCCCAAGTTGGATTAAGGTAGTTGGGGACCCTGGCGCAATTCCCAACATATGACTCTTTCCCCCCACAAAAAAACACATGAAATAAGGTACCACAGAATAGGGGCTGCTGTCCACTCTGTGAAGGAATTAGGCCCCTCTGTGCATCCACTGTCACCGAGTAGCAGTAATTACATCTGCCTGTTGCCAATGATGGAAGAGAAGGAATGTAGGGCCACTCCACTGGGACAGCTGAGAGATCAGAAACTTTTGGCAGCTCCTCTCCTTGCATTTTCCCATCCCAGCTGGTCATTAAAGCAACTTGAAAACATGGATTTGAACCAGAGTTTGCTTATTTCCTCCTAGCTCCCTCCATTTCCTTTTGTGTCCTGTATTTTTAGATTGTAAGGCTGAGGGCATATATAGTGATTTTAATGATTTGTAAGCTGCTCTGCGAGCCTTTTTTGGCTGAAGAGTGGGATTAAAAAAATCTTTAAATAAAAAATAAACACACACACACTGCCAAGGACATGGACGAGGGCAATATGCAAGGACCAAATCTTCCATATGCAGCTTGTTAATGTTGGCCTCATTGATCTACTGAAGATGTACTAGCAAACAGGACCAATATGTACAAGTTCTGGTGGAGCCTTCAACTGATGTCTCAAAATTCCTGCAAAAATATTTGTGGCTAAGAATAAGAAGAAAGTCTTCTAGGCTAGGGACACAGGAGTTGTAGCAATTGGACAAAGGCAGTAGCAAATGCAACCTATCAAGCAGAATGGAAGGAAAGTGATGGGCACATCCAACAGTGCATAGGCTGACATAGCTGAAAACTGGTAAGTACCGTATATCCAGGACAAGGCTGCACTTGTGGGGAGGCCTGAGGCAACCCCATTGCTGTCATGTACTGCATGGAGTCAGATCACTGCACCAACTCCAGCAATTGGCTTAAGGAAGGTACCCTCAGCATCTAAGATGTCCAGTAATGAATTACTTATATGGGGTTGCTATCCATTCATTATTGAAAATACACTTATAGCATAAAGAGTACTATAGACTTCCACAAATCTATGATTCTCAATCATTTGTTCACCTTTTGGACAGAATCATACAATACAGAAATCTGCCCAGGAATCCTGGAACTGAGGAGAATATAAAATAATACTACAGTTGTATAAGAATAATGATAATGATAATTTATTATTTATACCCCGCCCATCTGGCTGGATTTCCCCAGCCACTCTGGGCGGCTTCCAACTGAATATTAAAAACAATACAGCGTCAGACATTAAAACTTCCCTAAACAGGGCCGCCTTCAGTTGTCTTTTAAAAGTAAAATAGTTGTTTATTGCCTTGACATCTGCTGGGAGGGTTGTACCTTGGAAGTTGAACAGAATCCGTTCCGGAAGTCCATTCAACTTCTGAAACGTTCAACTTCCAAAGCGCAGCTTCTGACTGGCTTCAGGAAGTTCCTGCAGCCAATTGGAAGCCGCAGAAGCCCCATCAGACGTTTGGCTTCCAAAAGAACATTCGAAAACTGGAACATTCATTTTCAGTTTTCAATCGTTCGGGAGCCGAAACGTTCCAACTCTCAAGGCATTCAGGAGCTGAGGTACAACTGTGATTTGTTATGTATAATTTAACAACCCTGTGCATTTCTCAATGAACAAGAACACGCAACAATGCCTTTTGTTATCAATCACCCTGCAGTCCTATACCAGTGGGATTGCTGAAGTGCATTCTGAGTCAGAAAAGGTACTCTGTCAACACTTCTATACCTGTCTTCTCAGAAGTAAGTTGCATTGAATTTAATGGGAGCTATAACCAAGTATCTAAAGGACCGCATCACTGAAGCTTTATTATAGATAAGCAAAGCATGGAAAACAGACCATTCAGGAAATATTTCACAAGAGTGGGACTCAAGAGGCCTAAATACCACAGTGTGTGCTTCTAGGTTTCAAGAATGTATGGCCTTCTCCAGAAACCACAAGATCAGTGTGAAGCTTCAACAAGATACTCAAGATCTGGTTGTTGCAGTCTCTTTTCTCTGTTCTTGTTTTTGGTAAACTCTCTAAGCATCTCCATGACTTCATTTTCAAAGATTTCTGGAGCAGGCTTTGCTTCTTTGGGGAGAAAAAAGGAAGAAGTGAAACAACAGTATAAGCTGTGCTACCAATGTCTGAAGATTCTGTACACTGAGGTGCCCACCAGATGTTGGATTCCAACTCAACAGTGCCAGCCAACAAAGATAAGAGTTGTAGTCCAGCAAAATCTGGATGAAAACACATTGGCTACCCCTGCTCAGAACTACAGTCTATAGATCTAGTAGGTTTTCAAAGATCTTTTTGTCACTGGACTTAAAATTATTTGTCAAGCCCCATTTCAAAGACATCCCAGTTAGTGTGTTAAGTACAGAAAAGGAAACAAAATGGAATGCTTGCTTTGCAAACAAGCGAAAGACATTTTTTATGTGACAGGGAGCAAGAATGTTTTTGGAACTTCTTGTAAAATGGCAGTAGGAAGTCTTGGCCCGTGGCCCTAATTAGGCTGGTGCAGGTCACATGAGGCTGTTGCCCACAACCCACAAGACGTCGTAAGTGAAATGGGGCAGTTATGGGCAAGAAAAGAACAATCAGGAGTTTAAAGTGAGTTCTCTATTATTTCTTTGAAAGAAGGGTTCTCTGTCAGCACCAATCAGCTGATTAATGCAGACAGGGAGCCCTGCTGGGAGTCAGTGGCACTCCAAACAGAGCATTTTCCCCTTTGTAGAGAAAAAACAACTAGCTGTTTAGAGCAAACACTTTGAATCCTAATTGCTACCTCCAAATGGAGTTCAAAGGTTCCCTGTAATGCTTGTCAGCTGATTGGTGCTGAAAGTGCACCTTCAAAGAAGATTGTTGTATAGTAACCCATTTGAATGTTGATAGGTGTCATTTGATGTATTATGCCATCAGGTGACTGACAGTTGGGTGGTCCCATGCATCTGTCAAAGTTGGCCCATGGGAAGCAGGGGGAAGTAGAGTATTGGCTTACTGGCCAGATCCAGTTCCCCACCCCTGCCATAAAATATATAATATACAGTGGTACCTCGGGTTACAGACACTTCAGGTTACAGACGCTGCTAACCCAGAAATAGTACCTCGGGTTAAGAACTTTGCTTCAGGGTGAGAACAGAAATCGCGCAGCAGCGGCACAGCAGCAGCAGGAGGCCCCATTAGCTAAAGTGGTGCTTCAGGTTAAGAACAGTTTTAGGTTAAGAACTGACCTCCAGAACGAATTAAGGTCTTAACCTGAGGTACCACTGTATTATCATTAACTATACAGCAGTTCTGCAACCTAAAACTATACTTGTTAAGGAGGATGTTAAGTTCTACTAAATTCAAAAAGGGCTTACTGCAAATAAAAATACATATGTTTTAAAGGTAGAGTATACGTTAGTTATACTCTTGATCAACCTGACTGCTAGAGTTGGAATGTTTATATGGTGAACATGACAATTTTTAGACCCTGCTCATAGCTAAAACTGTATTTCGGATTGTCAGTGACAACCTTCTAGGACAATCACACACCTTTTCAGGACAGAGGTCGAAATATTACATGTACTATGCTGCTGTGTGTGGTCCAGAGGGCAGTAACAAGAGAACAAGCATTTTCTGTGATGGCTCCCCACTTGTGGAATGTTCTCTCCAAAGGGGCTTGCCTGATGTCTTCATTTACATATCTTTAGGCATCAGTCAAAAACATTCCCTTTCTCCCAGGCCTTTGGCCTTTTTAACTGTGTGCAGGGAGGTTATTGTTTTTGTTTGTTACTATGTTATATATTTTTATGTTTTTATATTATGAAATGCCCTTCATAAGACACGCCCCCCAAGTCACATAAGTGCCAATAGCAAGTGACCCCAAAATACAGTGTTTTGCTTTACCTGTTGCCCAGTAGTAGATATCCCAATCATTGCTGGGCTCATTAATCAGGCGATCATAAAGATCTAGCTGTTGCTCATTCATTCGATTCAAATTCTCTTTGGCAAAGAAACTATGGGAAACAATAAAACAGCATACTGGGAAAACCAGACTAGGTAGAAAAAAAGCTACAGATACCACAATGTAATAAAAATACTACATTCTGGCTATGCAAGTGTCAGAAATTTCTGCACACCCATTCAGACAAACAAAAGGCATTATTACAGTTCAAGGTCCAATTCTCTCCAGGCAAAAGCACTGAGGAGCAGGGCCACTGAGGGGTGTGGCCTTTGAAGAAGAGTCCCAGGAGCTGGATAGAGGGTCCCAGAGGGGAGACCACATTCAACCCCAGGTTCCCCTCTACCAGTTCAAGATAAACCAGTGTCTGACTATACCCTTGATAACAAAGAGAAAACAGAATGGACAATCTTCTCCTTTTTCCTCTATAAGCTGATTTTCAATATTTCATAACAATGCTTCCTAGTGCTGTCCTTGGATAAGGGTATTTCCAAGTGCAAGGAGAGAGCAACATTTCTTTTTTTAAAAAATGTAGGTTTATAAAATGATGCACACTATGGAGAAAGTAGACAACAATGATTTTGTACTCACTGTTTTTCAGCTAAATTTCCAGTTGCATTTTATAAGTTTAAACTGCCCAGAGAACATACGGTAGTTTCATCATTCTTATCTCTGTTTTATTATACATTATAAAGTAAAATAATAATAATAATAATAGAAAAATTCTAATAAAAGGGGGGAGATACTGGAGTGTGGGAATTTTAAAGACTCGATTCTTAATTTCGTTACCAGGAAACAAGTCCAAGTTGAAAGCAACGAGGAGGTTTAGGAAAGGCAGAACAGAAGGCGACGGCTCACCTGAGCAGGAGGCAGTTCTCCAGCATGCCCCTCTTGCGGCTCTCGTACAGCAGCCTCGCGCGCTTCCTCGCCGGGGCTTCGTGGGGCCGAGCCTGCCAAGGCGGCAGAGGGATCTCCAGCAGATCCCGCCCGGAGTCGGAGGGAGAGTCCCCGCGGTAGCAGCACTTCGACGAGCGGAGGACGCAGGCGGGGAGCAGAAAGAGGCGCTGCGAGACAAACAGGCAGGGAAGCGGCGTAAGGCAACCAAGGGCGGCAGAAGCAGCGTCCGACCCACCACTCCGTTACTACGCGAACGCGCCGGAGCTGCTGCTGGTGCAACGGTTGGGGAGTCGGACTAGGACTCGGGGAGGCCGTGACGCTCAGAGAGTGACCTTGGGGGCCAGTCGCTGCCTCTCAATCTCAGCCTAGCCCGCCTGGCAGGGTTGGTGTTGTGGGGATTAAACCAGGAGGACTAGGCGCTCCACCCTGAGCTCCTTGGAGGAGAAGCGGGGGGCACGAATTCAACAAATGCCTAGATACATAATACACATCTCCCTTTACTCACGCGAACGCTCAACGCCGCCATCCTGGTTTCCTCCGCAGCCGCTCTACCCTTCACGGCCCACCATAGACACAGAGCCTCTCAGCTTCTCCACAACGCATGCGCCCTAAAGCCACCTCTCGGCCTCCCGCGCCCGCTTCGGAAAAGCCTCCTACGGAGAGCGGCCTTTTCTGTTTTTGTTTACTCTTGCGCGAGGCGGCAGAGCAACAAACCGGAAGGGGCGGGGCTCGGCAGGGAGGAAGGGGCGGGGCAACGGGAGGAGGCGCTGGCTGTAGCGGTGAGAGGAGGAGGGGAGGAGGAGGAGGCGGCCGAGGACGAGGGGGGGTGGGGGTTCGCGCGCGCGTTTTGGGCCTGCCTGGGATTGCTAGGCCTTGAGCAGTATAACGGGCCCCGAGCGGCGCCGGGGAGGCGGCGGAGCTTCGTGGCCGGGGTGAGCGCGGGGGAAGTGGGCAGCGGCGGCGGCGGCGTGTCTCCGTCGCAGCGCGGGAAAAAGGAGGCGATGGCGGGCGCGAGCGTCCAGGCGCGCGCAGCTATGGCGGCCCGCGGAGGAGGGGAGGCGGGGAGGGAGGCGGCGGCGGCCCGGCTCTCGGGTTCTCCGCTGCCGGTGGAAGGCCCCGCCGTCCGAGTGGCACTGAGGCGGCGAGGGGGGCGGGGCCGCCTGCGCGGGATCCTCGGCGGAGCGGGGCTGCGCGGGAACGGGCCTGGGCTCTGCCGGCGGCGGCCGCGTGAGGCGGCGATCTCACTGACCTGCGTCTCCTTCCCCCTTCTCTTTGCTCTGTGACCCCCGCAGTGCGGCTCTTCCTTCTCCCCCCACCCCCGGTTCTCTCGGCGGCTCCCCTGGAGAAATATGTCGGAAGGAGTGGACCTCATCGACATCTACGCCGACGAAGAGTTTAACCAGGTGAGCGCGGCTGCGGACCCCGCTGGGTGGGCGTAAGGGCTGCGCCACCGTCTCGGCGGGATGTGGAAGGGCGGCAGGTGAGCGCTAGAAGAAGAGGCGAACTCTCCACGAGCCCCGAAACTTCGGCCCGTGCTGAGGTCTCAAAAGAGAGGTTTGTCCTCAGGTGCGTTGTTAGGCTGCTGGAGCATCCTTTCCTTGCACGGTAGAAATACGAAAATCTCTGTAGAAGCAAATTCCGTTGTGTGAAAAGTTCGTTGAGTGAGAAGTGAATAGTGTTAAATCAGCGTTATAACTGGAGATTTCCTAATAAACTCCTCACATTTGCCAATTGGTGTGAATTGTTTTACTCTACAGGAAAGAAAACCTCATGAACCAAATGAATGCATGTTGGAAGAAATGTTGAATCACTATTTGTGCATGTGTGTTTTGGAATGTATGAAGGCTTCCTTTTAAAAAAAAAGAAATAGGAAGTTACAGCATGATAGAAATAGAAAGTAATAGCATGTTAGTCTCCGTAGTCTCTCAAGTGAGAGGCGCCTTCCTGGAATCAAGTTAACGTAACAGTTGAGGATGCTGAATCTTTTAGAAATATGTAACCTGGGTCAGTGAGCAGACCAAGATGGTTGGTACAGTAGCTCCTGCATGTGATTTCAAGTTACATAGTATTCTGTCCCATTCGCCGCACCACATTGACACAAAAAAATAAAACATGGAAACTGACAGGCAATTACGCAGTTAATCACAGGCAATACTAGCACCTTCATAGGAAAAGATCCTTCAGTTTTGTGCACACATTGCTTGCAGTACATATTCTTTATAGCCTAAAAAGTGAACAGTTAAGTGATGTTAGGGGTGTAGGTAACAGCAACTTTAGTCCACCTTACAGTTCTACTTCCCACGTTTCATGCCTGCTTATACCTAATATTTTTTGTTACAATTATAAATTGGGTCATCTTAGTTATTGAAATGACTGTGTTTAATGGGAGAAAGAAGTGGGAAGACAGGATAACCTTTTCTGTCTGATGTACTAACTTTGTGTGAGAGTGCATTGCACTAGAAATCAAATCTGGTTTGTGGTGTATATTGTTCCCTATTGATTTCAATCCTCAAGGCTTGATTACTGTAGCACACTTTATGTGGGGCTACCCTTTATATAGTCCGGTAGCTTCAATTTGTGCAGAATGCAGTGGCCAGACTGCTCAAAGGAGCAACATACAACTGCTGCTGAGGGAGCTGTTGTGGTTGCCTGTTTGTTACCTGCCTAGGTTCAAGGTACTTACATTAATTCACAAAACCCTAAACAGTACAGGCCTTTGCAATACGATTTTTCTCTTTAATGATGTTTTATTGATGCTTTTTGCTGCTTTTATTTTTATATGCTGTTAACCACTTTGGCATATTTTGATGAAAGTGTGGATTATAAATACATAAATAAATAAATAGAAATAAACACCCACATGTGTTTCAAGTGTGTGTTTATGTATTACTTTAAATAGAACATTAAGAAGGCCGTGCAATTCCATAAGCAGTAGGACTGGAACCAAACTTACACTGAACAGAATTATACTGTAACCACAGAAACATGGCAACCAGCAGCCAGTTTGTTCATAATAACTCCTTTAGTGGCCTTGTTCAGTGGCAGAGCACAACAAACCACGCAGGAGGTCCCAAGAGCAGTCCCTGCCATCTCCAGATAGTGACTGACTGCTGTCTGAAGCCCTGGAGAACCTTTGCCAGTTAGTCTAGCAAATACTAAGCTATATGGACAGTGGTCTGACTTGCCTTAAACCAGCACCCAATATTCCTACAAACCTGGGCTGAAGAACATATAGGTCCATATGCTTTAGGGCCCCTCTGCTACCTTCTGTCCTGGGCTGCATGGTTAGTGCTCAGGGATGATGGGCATTGTAGTTAAGCACATCTGGGGGGGGGGTCACAGGCTTCCTACATGTGCAGTACTCATAGTCCTTACTCCAGGTAAAAATAAAGCGTATAGTTTATATTGCCAAGGTCCCAAGTTTGATCTTGCCACCTCCAAGCATCTCCATTTTGTCCCGTCATTAATTCCTGGTCACACCCATTCTTTCCTGTTGATTTATTTACTACTATGCATAAGTTTCATTTCACAAGGGTTCTAGTTTATGTTCATTATGTATCCCTGTATGTGGTTATAGCACTAGATTGATTGGTGTACAAGAGACGATTAATACCTATATGTCAGCTTTCCTGTATCTTGGTTTGGGATGTGTAGGAACATTTCCTTTTTTGGGTTGACGTTAGGGGTGCCCAGTGCTAATTCCCTCCAATGTCAGGTGTACATTCAGGTGTATTCATGTACATGCCATCTTGCATTCACAACTAGTGCAAAGGCACTTAGCTGTTTTCAGTAATTTTGAATATATGAATGCTGGTGAAGTTGTTGCAACATCACACAGGGTTTCTGCTGCTGCACTAACTGTTTTTTCTGACTGTATGGCTCTAGGTAATGACCACATTTCATCTCTGGGAGCATTGGATGGATGCTTGTCTCTGGAAGGCATGGGGTGTATGTTAAATGTTCCACTTGATCAGGGAACATTTATTGTATTCTGCCTATAGTACCCCATTTTTAAATATTCTGTTCCCTATCAAGAGTAAAAGAAGTATAACACGAGTATGTAATGAATTAATTTTATCTATAAGAGTTTTTCATATTTCTACAGTAGTTTTCTAGAGTAAAGGATTGTTCTTGTAAACTTGGTAATCTGTTCTGGTGAAGGTGTTCTACCCTGAAAAAGTTTTAATTACAACAAATCACTGGTGTAGATGACACCATTATAGCTTTCAGACAAATATGTTTTATATATTTATTTGAAATTCCTAGTTGTGGCAAGAGGAGAAACATAAAATATACTGAGGACCAAATCCTCTTGTTCAGGTATTTGTTACATAATTCAAAAACTTTATATGACTTTTGTGCACATTTATCGTGTGTGCTATGTCTATTTCCTGTAGTATTTCTGCCTACCATACACTTCATTCTGTATACCTTCAGCCACTCTCCTCTTTAATGTGTGCTTACCTAGTCTTCACCCATATTGGCTTGTTCCCCAGTGGATAGATTTAGGCCACATTCACAACATACTTTTAAAGTACTATGATACCACTTTAAACTGTCATGGCTTCTCCCAAAGAATTATGGGAGCTGTCGTTTATCAAGCATGCTGAGAATTGTTAGGAAATCCCCATTCCCCTCACAGAGCTACCACAGTTCCCACAGTGGTTTAACAATCAGTCCCTCTTCATAGGGAACTCTAGGAATTGAAGTTATGGGAAGGGAATAGGAGTCTCCTAACAACTTTCAGCACCTCAAGAGTGCTTTAAATGTATGATTTGAATGTGACCTTATCAGTGTACATGGTGAGAAAGAAAGAACAGTATTTATAGGCCTATAGTTGCTTCATCATGTATTGCCAATGATGTCGTCAGCCACACTTGATCTGTTGCAGGATAAGAAGAATAGTGAAAATGTACTCCCCATTTCTTCACTGTATACATGGATGGAGCTTCCCTGGGGGCAGGTGGGGGGGGCGTACTCTGGCTGTGGATAGCAACTTCAACTTGGATGGTGGTGTTTTGTGGTGGGTTACCGTATTTTTCGTTCTATAAGACGCACCAGACCATAAGACGCACCTAGTTTTTGGAGGAGGAAAACAAGGAAAAAAATATTCTGACTCTCAGAAGCCAGAACAACAAGAGGGATCACTGCGTAGCGAAAGCAGCGATCCCTCTTGCTCTTCTGGCTTCTGGGATAGCTGTGCAGCCTGCATTCGCTCCATAAGACGCACACACATTTCCCCTTACTTTTTAGGAGGGAAAAAGTGAGTCTTATAGAGCAAAAAATACGGTATTTGCTACTATGTATGGCTTATTCCCCACACTGCTTACCTTTCATGGGAACCTGCTTACTAGTGTGCATCTCCTTTTGTAAGTACAGGAGTTGAACTTCTTAGCTGTTTGTGTACTGAGCAATGAGGCAGGCTGCTTCTGGAGAGCCTGAAAACATAGTAAACATCGGACACCTGCCCTTTCTTCCTTTCTTTTTCTTATTTGAATCTCACCCATGGCCATAGTTGTGACATCTCTGGCTGCTACACAAGTGCAGAGTTGCACCACCACAATGGTGTTGACAGATGTGAGCTATGTGCAGGTGTAAATGTTCCATTTGTGTAGGAGTAGGGCTCCTTTCCATGGTGCAAAACTTGTCAGTTATCACGTGTTTTCCCCACTATGGATAGCAGGGAACTGTCTTCACATTAGATGCTGAATTCCCAGTTCATGATCTGCCCTACCAGTCTGATCAGGTTGTGTGCATAGAGCTCATATTTTTTAATACATGTATTCCAGAATAGTTTATGTACTGAGTCTGGTTATGTGTTTGGTGTGTGGCACCTTGTGATTCCATGTGCTTGTTCAAGAGTATGATGATTAGCTATGCTCTTTTTTTCAGTTGGGGCTGTACCTGAACCTCTGCTTGAGGAACATGGGAAGCTGCCTTATACTAAATCAGACCATTTGTCTCTGTAGCTCAGTATTGTCTACACTAGCAGTGGCTCTCTGAATTTTCAGACGAAGGTATCTCCCAGCCCTATCTGGTATGCCAGAGATTGACCTTTTGATATTCTGCATGCAGTGCTGATGCTCTACCTTTCAGCTATGGCCCAGTCCCAGATCCCCTCTGGAGTGGGTTCTGATGTAATGGATGCTGCTGCCCATGTTATTTCCCCTCATTTAAGAGTAACTTGGTTCCCATAGCTTTTCAATGGGTTGTCATTATATGCTAACCCTTTCATTTCAGAGTTCTGTCCCTGTGTGTTTTGGCAGGAGAGTTATTCATGCTTGTCTAACGGTGGAGGGTGTGTGCTGTTTCCTATGAAGTAGTATGATGGTTATCAACGTACACTCATGGTCCTTGGATAGAATGCTAATGAGCAACATATTTTTTCCATTAGTTTCCTTTTCTTCCATCTTAGCAGCATTAGCAGCACACCACAACTTCACTAGCGCAGTAGTATTACATGGATGTGGGAATACACCTTTGGACCCAGAGATGCAAAAGTTGCCTGTAAGCTTTCTTGTCCATAAGAGAATCCACTAAAGAACTAGAGAAGACATGACTAAATAACAAGAACAATTGGACCAAGAGCCTGTGAGCTTACTGTATGTAGGGATTCATCTGGAGGCCTTTGTCAACTTAGAGCCTTTTCAGTTGTGGCACACACCTTATTAAATACCTTACCCAATGAGATCAGTCAGGCCTTCACACTGTTTTTAAGTAGCAGGCAGAAACACGACTCTTTAAGAAGACTTTTGACTGTCTTCTCCCCACTCTCAGTTTAATTTGTTTAATGTTGTGCCTTTATGTGATTTTCAGGAATTACTTATATTCTTCGACCTGGCATGTTAACAATTGCTCATTACCACTATTTTTTAGAATTGCTGCTCTTTTATGTTTTTAGATATCGTATGAAACTTTGTTTTGGAAACCACCCTGATTCCATTTTTTCCCCTTAAAGGCAGGTTATAGGTTTTTAGAATAAATTAATAGTTGAGCCAAGAATATAGCACTGTGTTCTAGGATCAAGTTTTGGAAATGGAAATCTCAATGTATGGAAGTAGGCTAAAGATTTGATCAAAGTTTCAGCAAACTATTTGTTTCCTCTTCAGATTCAGAGTGCAAACAAGAATGTGTTGCAAATGCAGCTTCATGAAAAATACACATTGTAGAGAGTTCAAAGCCTCTGTGCCATGCAGAAGTAAAGAAGCACATACTATGGCTTGGGTCCAGAGTTCCTGCAGGCAGAACTTTGCTCAATCTGTGCTCCCATTGGAGGAAAGGAAAAGCAATCTCCACTGATGCTTCCTGCCCCCTGAAAAACTGCTCTGAGTGCCCTCAATCTTTCCCAACATCAGGGTCTTTTCCCGGGAGTCTTCTCTTCTCATGAGGTGGCCAAAGTATTGGAGCCTCAGCTTCACGATCTGTCCTTCCAGTGAGCACTTAGGGCTGATTTCCTTAAGAATGGAGAGGTTTGATTTTCTTGCAGTCCATGGGACTCTCAGGAGACTCCTCCTGGAAGTACTAGGGTAGGGGTAAAACAAAAATTAACCCCAAATCTCTTCCTATACTGCTAAAAAAGAAATTGTATGCTGTTGTGTCTCTGGTTTACCAATTGCATCTAATGGTCTTGATTCACTTTTTCAAGTTCCAATAAATATTGTTTGGCAAAAAAGGAAAAAATTGAGAGCCATCTAGGATGCAGGGAGAAACTGTGTAAATAATCAATTCTCTATTTGTGGAATTAGAAATGAATAAACACTGGAATTCCCTCTTGCCTTGAAAAAGGGGATATCAGCATTGTAGTATCAAAAGAATGCAGTTTGAGTCTGAAGAGACACAACGTGTAGCACTGTCTCCTTGGGAACCGTGGCCAGTGGAAAGAATCTCTAGGTGTTGCAGGGAAGTTGCTGAAAATAAATAGGTCTGTATTATTTATTGAGACTATACTGTATTGTGTGTAGGGAAGAACTCTTGTGTCAGGCCTATTGCATGGTTCAATAACTGCCCAGAAATACAGCAAATAAAATAAAAGGTGTTACCTGTGTGAGACATGACCAGATAACCAAGAATGTGCAGGTCTTGCTCACATGAATGCTTGCAAACACATTTAATATGATCTTTGGAAGGTTTCAATAGCATCATCAACAGCCACTACCTTTGTTCCTGATGATCATAATCAGGAAACTACTTTGTAGTATATGTGTGGGTGGTGTTGCTGGATATGCACTGTTTTCTCCTCCCCTGTAGCTTATGTGATTCTGTCTTAGGTTCCTGGAGGCTATTGGGGACATTCTTCTGATGGTGTGGGCTTTTCATTGCCTTGCAATGGCAGTCAGTATTTGCTACAAGGCTAGAGTGGCCTTACTGTCTTAGTTTAGTTGAAAGTGAGTATCACAAGCTGTACTGTGGTCTTTACTGAGGAAATCTAAATATATTTTTCTTGATGTCAGGAAGCTAACAATAAGTAAGTTTCCAATCTTCTGCTTTGCAGATTTAAGAGGTATCCTAAAAATAGCTTGAAGTGCTGATAGCTTGAAGATGTTGAAGTGACTTGATTTCCCTATCACCCTTTAATATCACTGCTGTTCTTAATTGATAACATTTTGTTTAGTAGTAACTTTTCTTTTTCTTATGCGTAATATCCATTCATTATTGCAGATTTGTCTTGTACTACTATGTAAAACTATTTCTGCTGCTAGTAATTTTTTGTAGCATGTACCACTTTCTACTTGAAGACTTCCCAGTATTTGACTTTATAAAGTTTGCTTGAAGCAGGAGCTGCTGTTATGTTTAAAATAACACCCAGGTTTCTTTTATTCTAGATAATTGGAATGTAACAAGCATATCACTAGTTCTATGAAACCAACAAATGGTTGTGACCTGCATCCCAATATATTTACTTTAATCCAATTTAGCATACTCAGGCTAAAGCCCATTGAAAACTATGTAACAGGCTAACTGTGATTAAAAGTTTGACTGATTTCAGTGGAGTTAAGCACTTCCATCTGAAATTAGACAGTGACCATGATCCAGTACATGCCAGAATTCTGATGTTCTTGATAACATAGGCCAAATAGTTGAATTCAGACCCATAACAAATGTTAGAATTTGATTGTTTATATCCTGCATGAGTTTTTGCAGTCTTGCTAGTTTAAAACATTGAAGAATCCTTCAGGTGGGAAGCCATACCTTACAGTAATCTGTGAATTACAGTAATAGTAATGTGTATTTGTTTTATTTATTCAATCTATTAGTTGCTTTTTTATCAGAGGAACACAAAACGACTTTGAGTATATAAACAGACACACATATTAAAACTGGCATAAAGGAAAAGAGGAAAAAATCTGAAAAATAACCCTGGTTTTAAAAGGCAGTACAAGCTTTATGTTCTAGCTGCTGCTGTGTATACAAATTGGGTCAGATTATGTTGCGTGGGAAGATGAAAAGTTTATATACCACTCTACATAATACTGGATTTCTTTTATATTATATATATATATATATATATATGCAGGTTTTGGTGTCCTCGGGTGTCTTCCCGTGTAAAAGTTGGGGTGTCTAGGCGACGTTTCGACGAGGTCTCACTCGTCATCTTCAGGCTGGTGCTTTCGGCTTCTTGTTCCAGTAACAAGAAGCCGAAAGCACCAGCCTGAAGATGACGAGTGAGACCTCGTCGAAACGTCGCCTAGACACCCCAACTTTTACACGGGAAGACACCCGAGGACACCAAAACCTGCATTCCTGTACCCGTGAAAATCTACGAAAGCATATATATATATATATATATATATATATATATATATATATATATATTATCTACAGTTATATCCCATTGTTACTGCATTCCAGCTTCTAGATAACTTTAGGCTGACAGGAATTATACATGTGTGTGCATAAGGTGCATATTCATGCATTAGAATTCTTTTACGGTGCATTTTTTTAGCTAGCAAAGGATTGCAGTGTGAATCACAGTAGACTATAACTACATTTTCAGAAGACCAGTGAAATATCATTAGAGTTCCAATATAATTGTTTGCTTCTGATAGTGACTCTTTAAATGTTGTGAGGATGAAATAATACTGCATGATACCTAACTCCTCTGAAGAAAAATGTAGAGGCTGATTTCTAGCGGGGTTCAGTATAAATCTTGACACAACCTGATCACCTTTCATGAACAGCCAACAGCATGATACTGCTCAAATAATCCCAAATAGGGAAAGAAACCAAGAGGCCTTTCTGCCAAGTTGAGTGGCCTCTTATAGAGGTTGGTGGTAATAATAATAATAATAATAATAATAATAATAATAATAATAATATCTTATCTTTATTGTCATTACCCCCTCTCGGGGACAACGAAATGCTATATATGATAGTCTCCTTCACTGCATATATGCAACAAGGAAACACCCCTCATTGGAGCAGTGAGGAAAATGAGGTGGGTCTGCACACAGTGTAGATTGGGGGGAGGGGGAGGATGTAAAAATGTCGTTCGATTACCCAGTCCTCCACAAAGAATGGAGAGGCAAAACGTCTTGTGCAGTAATAGATGGCAGTGAAACATGCATTCTCCTCGTCTCAGAGAAAACAATGGGGTGCTTGGGGCTACATGAAATAGCTAGTCCTCTTTGCTCTTCCTTGCAACTAGCAAAAACAGCATGCTTCTTTTTGAGAAGGAGGTTTTACGTTATTACTTAAATTCTAGAATTTATTATTTGATATAGGTATGCTACTATTCTGTGACGAAAAGAACGAATGTGGAGGATTGGCCCCGCTTTGCCTCTGCGTGTGCTCAGTGATATCTTGTGTCTTCTAGGACTCTGAGTTTAGTAATGCTGACCAGATGGATCTATATGACGACGTGCTAGCTGCCAGCTCACAACCTTCTGAAAGTTGCCCTAGCAGCTCCGAGCCACCACCCGAAAACCGGCAAGAGCAGTCTCCTAAGCCAAACAGCAAATCACCTGCTATCCTGTATACCTACAGTGGGCTGCGTAATAAGAGGGCTGCTGTTTATGTAGGCAGCTTCTCTTGGGTGAGTGCGTTCCATAATCGGAGCAGAAAGTAAAGGGCCTAACAAAAACAAAACATTTGTGTGGAAAGGCTGCATCTGCACTTTAATCTTACTACAGATGCACTGTTCTTGAATGTTAATAGAGTATAGAGCCCCATGTGGGTGGGTAGGTTTTCTGCTGCTTGCCAACCTCAGTCCTCACAACACATTGGATAAATAACTAGAAGCATTGTTCGTTATGACACATTGCTCTATTTAGAACATTTTTATCTTGCTTTTCTTACAAAGACTCAACAGTGGCTTCAAATAAAGAAGCTGCAGCAACTGTGAATGAATTTTCTCCAGCAAGTATTCCATACTATGCTAAAAAGCAGCACATCTCAGAGTTGGAGAATATGATGCTCTTGCATTAGCAGGGTAACTTTTAAGAGAAGAGGATTTAACACATTTAAGATACATCAGAAAATATGATAATAGTAGAATTGGGACCCTTAAAATGCCATGATACAGACATTTTCACAAAATTTTCTGTAGCCGGCATACAGGTATGAGAGTTTTCTCCTATGAATTAATCTCTTAGGACCTGAGTAAGTCATATTGGGCCTGCTGTGTCATGATTTAGGGTGTGTAGACTTATCACTGCCCTAAGTGCACGCAGTTCTCTTGAATACCTGTGGTATGTGTTGGGAAAGGGATTGCTGCTGCTGCTCCTTCAATTGCTTAGGTCTGTCTAGAACTTGCATCTTCTAGGAAGATACTTGTTCACACATGTACGCGCTCACACATCTGCAGCTCCAAAAGTGACTGTAGTGGGAGGGGTTTAATCAAATGTTCATTCATTAGACTATACCAGGAACAGTATAGGAGCTTGAGAAGGACGAGTTCTCTTACTAATACAGTGGTGCCTCGCAAGACGAAATTAATTCGTTCCGCAAGTCTCTTCGTCTTGCGGTTTTTTCGTCTTGCGATGCACGGTTTCCCATAGGAATGCATTGAAAATCAATTAATGCGTTCCTAGGGAAACCGCCTTCAGACCAGGTCCGGGGACAGACTGTCCCCGGACCTCTTCTGAAGGCTGGGGGGGGGGGGACAAGGGCTTTTCTTCCCACCCCCAGCATTTTAAAAAACCCTGGGACAGCGGAGGACTTCTCCGCTGTCCGGTCGATCTTAAAATGCTGGCGGGCGGCATTTTAAAATCGCCCCGGGACAGCGGAGGACTTCTCCGCTGTCCGGGGCGATTTAAAAGCCCCTGGGAAGGCAGGCAGGGGGGACAAAGACTTTCGCCCCCCGCCCGCCTTCAGAAGGTGTTCCCGCCCCCGGCTTCGCAGCAGCGCTACGAAGCCCGGCGGCTGGGGCAGGTGTTCCCGCCCCCCCCCCCCCCCCGCTTCGGAGCAGCGTTCCGAAGCGGGGTGGCTGGGGCAGGTGTTCCCGCCCCCCGCCCGGCTTCGCAGCAGCGCTAAAAAGCCCGGCGGCTGGGGCAGGTGTTCCCGCCCCCCCACCCCGCTTCGGAGCAGCGTTCCGAAAGCGGGGTGGCTGGGGCAGGTGTTCCCGCCCCCCCACCCCGCTTCGGAGCAGCGTTCCGAAGCGGGTGGCTGGGGCAGGTGTTCCCGCCCCCCCGCCCGGCTTTGCAGCAGCGCTACGAAGCCCGGCGGCTGGGGCAGGTGTTCCTGCCCCCCCACCCCGCTTCGGAGCAGCGTTCCGAAGCGGGGTGGCTGGGGCAGGTGTTCCCGCCCCCTGCCCGGCTTCGCAGCAGCGCTACGAAGCCCCGGCGGCTGGGGCAGGTGTTCCCGCCCCCCACCCCGCTTCGAGCAGCGTTCCGAAGCGGGGTGGCTGGGGCAGGTGTTCCCGCCCCCACCCGGCTTCGCAGCAGCGCTACGAAGCCCGGCGGCTGGGGCAGGTGTTCCCGCCCCCCCCACCCCGCTTCGGAGCAGCGTTCCGAAGCGGGGTGGCTGGGGCAGGTGTTCCCGCCCCCCGCCCGGCTTCGCAGCAGCGCTACGAAGCCCGGCGGCGGGGGCAGGTGTTCCCGCCCCCCCCACCCCGCTTCGGAGCAGCGTTCCGAAGCGGGGTGGCTGGGGCAGGTGTTCCCGCCCCCCCACCCCGCTTCGGAGCAGCGTTCCGAAGCGGGGTGGCTGGGGCAGGTGTTCCCGCCCCCCGCCCGGCTTCGCAGCAGCGCTACGAAGCCCGGCGGCTGGGGCAGGTGTTCCCGCCCCCCCCCACCCCGCTTCGGAGCAGCGTTCCGAAGCGGGGTGGCTGGGGCAGGTGTTCCCGCCCCCCCACCCCGCTTCGGAGCAGCACTACGAAGCCCGGCGGCTGGGGCAGGTGTTCCCGCCCCCCCACCCCGCTTCGGAGCACCGGGAGAAGCGATCTCCCCGCAGCCCCTTGCTTCAAAAGAGGTCCGGGGGCAGACCTCTTTTGAAGCAAGGGGCGGTGGGGAGAAGCGATCTCCCCGCCGCCCCTTGCTTCAAAAGAGAAGACCCGCTGTCCCCGGAGCAAGCTTCGTTTTGCGAAGCAAGCCCATAGGGAAATTCGTCTTGCGAGGCAACTCGAAAACGAAAAAACCTTTCGTTTTGCGAGTTTTTCGTCTTGCGGGGTACCACTGTATAAGATGATGTGGGTTCTCTAAAAGGTTTCAGGTTATGATGTAATTTTCTGCTTCTTCATACATAGTGGACAACTGACCAGCAGCTGACCCGAATAATCCGTTCTGTGGGTGTTTATGATGTGGTGGAACTCAAGTTTGCTGAGAACAGAGCCAATGGCCAGTCCAAAGGGTGAGCACTCCAAGACTGCTTCATAAAAGGACCCATCATGAGGGGCTGTAATTGTGGGAGGAATGATCTAGGGACCAGTGTGGTTGATAATGGTGTGCACATAAGTCTGGTTTTCTTGCTATTTTTTTTAAGGTGGCCTTAGAAGTCCCTGTTACTGTCCGGTTTGGATGCCACTGCCTTCAAACTAAATGACTACTTGTTATATGTGATTCATGAAGGTGGTGGGCTCTTGTCCAATTCTGCAGAGCGATCCCTTGTCAATGTGCTATTTGCTGCTACTCTTAATGACAGCTTTATGTTTGGAGGGCATGGAGCTGAAAATTCTGCACTGTTAATGACACTGTGCTTGTGGACAGCGGGGTTGGCCTGAGAAATCAATCAAATCAGGAATGGGAGAACCTTGGGCCTGTGGGCCACATCTGGCCGCCAGAGGATTTCCATCCAGCCTCCACAGCCTCTTGTCCTTGGCTCCTGGGCTGGCCGTGGAGGGCAGTGTTAGAAACTGGGATAGGAATACTAGGAGCCATGTGGGTGCCAAACCAAAATGTGTAGTGGGCCATTTTTATTGCTCCCCCCCCCTCACCAGACCAGGCAGCCCCACAGCAATAAAAATTAAAATTGCTGCTGGGTGACTCAGGAGGTCTGCTGTGTAGTGTGGCAGCAAAAGACAAGTCTTTTGCTACCTCTCTACCCTGCCAAACACCTGGTTCACCTAGCAGCGGGGCAGCAGCAAAAAACAAAGACAGATGGAGATGTTAGGCACTAAAAGTGGCGCCTGGACATCTCCATCAAGTTGCAAAAGGCCAATTGCAAAATGTGACTGGTGCCCGCTAATTTCAAACCCTGGTGGAACGAGCTCTCTGTCTCCCATGCTATCACAGAAGTGCAGCAGATTGGAGGCACAGGAACTTCATCTGGATAAGTACTGCAGTGGGAGATAAAGGGATGAAACCCCTTACCTCTTGTTCCTGACATGGATTGGGCCCCCACGCCTGCAATTTGCCAGGAGGGAGGCACTCACATAGGAACAAATGGGGGGTTTCCCCTCAGTGCATCTGTGTGTATGCGAGAGTGATAAATGTAATGATGTGAGCTCATATGTGTGAGCAGATGAGGATGGGTGGGGGGGGGTGAGAGCGGGAGTGGTGTGGCCCTGTCTAATTTCTCCTCCCGTCCCACCCACCAATGCTACATAGCAGTGACATTTTTTAGACCTTGGGTGGGGGAAGATTTCTTGTCTTGGATTAGATGGTTTTCCTTACTAGAAGTTGCTGACAGTCTTCAGTTCTTTTTCCTCTGTGACCAGGTACGCAGAAGTGGTGGTTGCCTCTGAGAACTCCGTCCACAAACTTCTGGAGCTGCTACCAGGAAAGATTCTCAATGGAGATAAAGTGGAAGTGAAGTTGGCTACCCGGCAGAACCTTGCACAGTTTGAGGCTCAGGCTCGAAAAAGTAAGTTTAGATGGGGGTTGCGTTTGCTAAGTAGGGAACAAGGCAGAAATACAGGGCATTGGTTAGGTCGCAGAGAAACCTGAGCAGAGCTTTAAGCCAGAAACAATTTGGATGTGTGTGAATATCCAGGGAGTGTCCATGTATATTTTCTTTTTCTGTTGCTGCTGAGTGACGCCCAAGTAGATTTTATTATCCCCTTCTATATTGCATGATTTGAGGCACGCTTCAAACTGAATGGGCTTAAGCTAGTGAAGCTGCCATAGTTAGGACCACCCCCAGCTCCTCTCTGAACCTTCTCCAGAATTTGTGCAGCCCTGAAGAGGTAAGGTGCCCTGTATTGGATGCAGTGCTCCAGCTGGGGCCTTACCTCTTGGTCATATAATTCATTTACTATTATTTATAAAACACATATCCCACCCTTTCTCCCAAAGGAGCCTAGGGTGGCAAAGGAGGACCATAATAGATGGCCCTGTTTGTCAATTTCTGTGAAAGGTATGCTGTTGAATGTACTATCTGACTTAGTAAGTGGAGAAGAGGACAGTTTCCTCTGTTGTTTGCAGAATTAATCTGGACGGTTAGGATCCACCGTTTTGTATGATCCTGTCATAGTGTCAACTGACTATAGAGTTGCAGCCTTGTCAGCTTTAGCACAGCTGCGTTTTAATGGCCTCCATGTTCTGCCCTAGAAATTGACTGAAATTCAGTGCAGAAAGTCATGTTGGTCCTATGTCCCTTATCTCCACGGGGTGTCATGGTGCTGTGGTCCATTTCTCTGTGATAGGAAGGTCAGTCAGTGTTGCTGAATCATAAGATGAAGCAGAGCTGCTTTTAGCCCTCATCAAGCTTTTCCCTGTGAAAAACTGCTTAAAGGGGCTTATCTTATCTTCACTAGGAGGTCGCGCTGGTGAATGGCAACGCCTGACAGTAACCATGGCACGTCACCATTTTTGACAAGGCCTTCGTTAATGACTTCCACCACTTTGTGATTCCTCGCCCAAAGGGCCTGAGAAATACAAATTTGTTGTTTCTAGTAATTTTATTTACACCCTGCCTTTCTCTAGCCCCCAAAGTGGCAAACTGTAAAGCAGACAAGCCAGTACGATAAAGAAAAACACATGCACAAGTTAAACGTTTGAAGTTCTCTTTATTGCACTCTCCTATTTATCACAAAGGAAACCTAAAAGTGGCTTCCGTTCGGTGACCATGAAGTGAATTTTTAATGTAATTCAGACACGTGCTGAGTTTGAAATATGAATGTTATTAGATTATCCCAAACTTGCTGTCACCAAGTATCATGTGGTGATGGTATAACAGATTTCTGTGTCCCTAATTATTGTGTGTCATTGCAATTGTATGATCATGGTTTTTTTCTTTTGAAATGTTTCTCAGTTATATTTGCAATTAATTAATTTTGCCACATTGGGACAAGATCGCAATATGTTTCAAAATCCATCTTCTCAACATTCTCTCCATTATTTTTTTTAGTTCTTTTGATTATTGATTTCTTTCAATTATGTTTAGATTCTCTATCTTGAATAAAGGTCTTAATTTTTAAAAAAAAATGTATCAAATCTCATAACATACTATAGTTGAGCTTATTGTACATTGAAATTCTAAATTAAGATGACACAGCTTTTTTTAACCTGGAGTTTTTGAAATAATATATTTTTGCTTTACGCAGACATTGTAAATCTTTGTAAATACTTCCTGTAATGCCCTTCCATATTATTGCCATCTTGGTTTGTGTCAAATAAAGTTGACTCTAAGTACAGTACTTTGGTCAGCATGGCTTGATTATTTCTCTGGGGTCAATAGCTCTTCATTGGGAAGAATAAAGGAGTCACGTTTCCAGATTTAGGAAGCTTTCTGACTTTGAGGCCAAGCAACTGGCCTGGTGGAGCAATGGTGGATAGTATTAATTGCCTTCCAGTACTTGGGTATTGTCCCCTTGTTTTTCTAACGTTGCATTTATTAAGAATGTCAATTTCATAATTGTAGCCAGAAGTATTCATGGCAACTGAATCTAGTTTAATTCATTAGTCAGGATCTGCTGATGTATCTAAAACTATATTGCTCTCAGAAGGACCATAAGTTTTCTTCCATTCCACAGATAATTGCTTATTTCAGTTGCTTATTTTATGTAGAAGGAGATGCGGTTTGTATTACAGATTAAGGTTCAGAGACTTCTCTGCATCTACATTTTGTATTCTGTGAGAATGGAAATGTTGATTATTTTCTGGATGTGGTAGAAAACACTCAGTTTGCAGTAGGTGTTCAGGAAGTAGTTCAGTGACTTAAAAGCAGCAATATGTATATAAGCCTGTTGATATTTGCCTTTATGTAAAGCAACGTATCCTCATATATTGCAAGGTAGTTGATATTGGCATATTAGGTTTTAATATTTCACTTTATTGAAGAATTCTACTAAAAGAACCAAATGTTCTGCTGAGTGCATTCACTAAGCAGTAGGTTCCTGAGGTCATTATTTCAGGGGACGGGGAGGAATGGGAGTTAAGCATATCTCCCAAAATTATGGGTCTGGAGGATTCTGTATAATTGTGTAGTGTTAGAATGTTCAGGTTTCCACTCATTAGAATACTTATAATAGGAAAGGAGTAGGGATAACACTATAGCCAATTAGTGATTTTACTGAAGACCATTCTTGCATAATCCAGTGCTTGTATAGTGTTAGCTAGAATTTCAGACACATTTTACATCATTAGTTAGGAGAATTAGATCAGTGAGAAGGCCATTCATGTACAGTTTTGTGGCTGTTGCCTGCAGTTTTCAGAGGGTAGAACAATTGCTTTGTCTGCAGAAGTTTCCATATTTAATCCCTGGCATTGCCATGTAGGATTGGAAAGAGTCTTCTCTGAAGTCCCAGAGAGCTACTGCCAGTCAGTGTAGACTATACTGAACAAGATGTGTTGATCACAGAATCAGAATTGTAAATGTTCTGACTTGGATTAAGTCAACTTCCGAGTTCCTACTCATCAAATGATAACCCATTTGTGGTGTTACGTTTGCACAGTGGACTTCCATTAACACATTGAACTCTGCTCATGCAGCATTGGATACAACACCGTCTATTTTAGTTGTCACTGTACCAAAGAGTGGGTTAGTCAAATATTTCCCTTATATTCAGCATGGTTTGATTAATTTTTATGCTGTCTGTCACATTTTTGTTCTTTTCTCTTGAAGCTTCCTGATTTTGCTTTTCCTTAAATGAGAAAGTTCAATACATTTGTCTCTGATAGTATGTGATGTTCTAATCAGTTACATTAAAAATGAATATTTTAATATATCTTTATATATAATATAACATACTGACTATGGCTGAGATGTAAACAACATAGACACCAGTTCAGATTTCCCCTTGGCTATAAGCTCAGTGGGACGCGGGTGGCGCTGTGGGTAAAAGCCTCAGCTCCTAGGACTTGCCGATCGAAAGGTCGGCGGTTCGAATCCCCGCGGCGGGGTGCGCTCCCGCTGCTCGGTCCCAGCGCCTGCCAACCTAGCAGTTCGAAAGCACCCCTGGGTGCAAGTAGATAAATAGGGACCGCTTACCAGCGGGAAGGTAAACGGCGTTTCCGTGTGCGGCTCTGGCTCGCCAGATGCAGCTTGTCACGCTGGCCACGTGACCCGGAAGTGTCCTCGGACAGCGCTGGCCCCCGGCCTCTTAAGTGAGATGGGCGCACAACCCCAGAGTCTGTCAAGACTGGCCTGTACGGGCAGGGGTACCTTTACCTTTACCTTTATAAGCTCAGTTACTAGGTAATATTAGGTAAGCCACACTTTTTCAGCCTAAACACCTATCTAGAATCTTTGCGATAAAGATCTGTCAAGCAGGATTATTAGCAAGTTTACTGTGCTAATACATAAAGCATTTTGAACACACTATAAGCACTATATGAATGATAAGTATTACTTGAATGCTCAGGCAAAATTTATTTCACTGAAAGTGAACAGTGTAAAATACACTCAAGACATTCTAAGACCATAAATGAAATGTTCTCAGTTCAGTTTGGACACACTGCTATTGTAAATTGTAATTAAAGTTAAAGCATTGATTAAGCATGTTAATGCTACCTGTCCATCTTACTCATAATCAGTGCATAATACAACTATCTGTCAACTCAGCACACAATACTTAAGAGAGCTCTTACAGGTCTCTTGGCCAAGACTGGGAATGCCCAGTTCCAGAACAGGAAGGTATCTCTCTAGATACCTCAACATTGCCCGAATCAACCCAAAAGTCTGTGTGCACATACTAGTGAAACCCACTTTTTCTCACATGTATGAGATAAGAGTTCTGATATTTGGGCAAGGTGTTATTGCAATTCAGAGGCATGATGGTTGACATGGGTGTACTTACTGGAAAGCGGGGAGAGGGTTATTTTGTCAGAAAACTGACCTACCCAACTGCTACAGTGTTGAGCGCTTTTCCTCTTCTGTGATGTCTGACAGGGGTGCCTCCGAGGGCTCACTCAAGGGATTCCTCCGACTCGGTAGATGGCCGAGCCACTCCGACAGAGAATGCTGTGCCGCCGCCACGCATTGAGAAGCCTCCTGTGTTGCCTTTCTTCAACCGCCCTCCTTCTGCGCTTCCTCTCATGGGGCTGCCACCTCCACCCATACCACCCCCTCCTCTTTCCTCAAGCTTCGGGGTTCCCCCTCCCCCTCCAGGAATCCACTACCAACACCTCATGCCCCCTCCCCCTCGACTTCCTCCACACCTCACTGTGCCACCTCCTGGGGCCGTGCCACCTGCGCTGCACCTCAACCCAGCCTTCTTCCCCCCACCCAATGCAGCAATGGGGCCCCCGCCAGACACCTATAACAAGACCTCTGCAGCATACAACCACAGCAGGTGAGAGCAAGCCCATTCCCGGGAATCTGAGAAGAAAAAAATCAAAACTAAGCAGTGCAAAGAACAGTAGCTAAACCTCTTGTTTAGCAAGGGCTTAGTTATTTTGTTTTTATGCAAAGAGTGATGGTTCAACTAGACATGAAACCACCTTCTCGTTGGTGGTAGAAAATGCCTCGCATAGCTCTAGGGCACGACAGCTGACAACTTGGTTCTTGAAGGATACTACTTAATGCCTGCTTTGGGGAGGGGGGCAGTACCTGTCAACCACACATTTCTGTTTTGAAAGGCCTTGAATTGCCATGTCTATGAATAAGGAACTGTGTCATAGTTCTGCTTGAAGCTGTTTATCCTCTGTGTGTGATGGGTGTGTGTTTGTGTACTACAGCAGGGAACTGGGCCCATTGCCGCCTCCTGTCAGTGAAGCTGAATTTGAGGATATCATGAACAGGAATCGAGCAATTTCCAGCAGTGCCATTTCCAAAGCTGTGTCTGGTGCCAGTGCAGGTAACCAGAGCTGGCTTTTGCTACCTCTTGCCATTTCTCGCTCCTGGCCTCATTCTTACCATGCCGCCTTTGCTCTGTTATATTGCAGGGGACTACAGCGATGCCATTGAGACCCTGCTCACAGCCATCGCTGTGATTAAACAGTCACGTGTCGCAAATGATGAGCGGTGTAGAGTCCTTATCTCTTCACTCAAGGATTGTCTTCATGGCATTGAAGCCAAGTCTTACAGCATGGGCACCAGCAGCAGCTCTTCCAGGTGAGCTTCAGGCACAGTTATTGCCAAGTCATCCAGCTACTGTCACTCATGTTGCTGATGGGCGGGTCTCAGTTGTGCTCTGGTCCCCTTCCTGGGCTTTGTACAGCCAGGTAGGAATAAGTGCTTTTGGTAGGGGAAAGGGTCTTGTTACAGCTTGCCAGTAACTAGATACCTCATTGTTTTCCAGAAAACGGCACCGGTCTCGGGATAGATCACCCAGTCGGTCTCGTGAGAGCAGTAGGAGGCACCGAGACGTCGTCCATAATGAAGATCGGCATGAGGACTATTTCCAGGAAAGAAGCCGGGAGCATGAGCGACATAGAGACAGGGACAGAGAAAGAGACCGACATCACTGAGAGAAGTGAGAGATGTTTCCAGGGTGCTTTACCTTTCCCATCCCCTCCAGACCCACCCAGTGTATTTTCCTTTCCAAAAAAAGCGCCTTCTCTTCAAGTTGAGTATCATCCCTCTTGTAGATGCTGGCTAGGTAAGGTTGATTTCCCTTATGCTCTGGAAGACTTTCCATGGCAGAATCTCACACTTCTCTCCAGTGAGTGGACTGGTCATGCATGGATCTTAAGCTACCAGGGCAAATACATATTGTATTGTGTTCTCCATGCAGTATGTTCTGCTAGGTAAGATTTTTCAAAAATAAGGGAGTTGTCTGCTCCCTGATTGACTTGCACTTTGAGTACATGCTTGAGCTGTTTATTTTCTAACTTAGTAGATTTTTAGTATATTCAGCTGGGCTCTGAATAACTGTGTGTCTCAGGCCAACTATGCAATTTTGTTAGGGTACTTTTCCTTATTCCTTGTACTGTGACCAGTGGATTGCCGTATTTTTCGCTCCATAAGATGCACTTTTTTCTTCCTAAAAAGTAAGGGAAGATGTCTGTGGTCCCTGGAGCCGAATTGCCCGGGGCGAAAAGCAGATCATGCTTTCTTTCTTTTTTTTGAAAGAGGGAAGTGGGTGTTGAAACAAAGCCGCTGATCAGCAAGCGATCAGGAGGGAGATGAGGGACGCTAGCAATAAAGGAGGCTGTCTGGGAGGGGGGAGGTAAAGACAGCGAACTTGGAAGGAGAGGAGACAGGAAGACTAAAGCACTGAGGAGAGAAATTAGAAGAAAAGAGAAGCAAAAAACTGCTCCAGCTAAGGAAAAGACACTAAGGCAAACAAGAAGGAAGGGAGTGTTGAAAGGAAGCAGCTGATTGGCAAGCGATCAGGAGGGAGATAAGGGACGCTAGTGATAAAGGAGGCTGCCTGGGAGGAGGGGGGGTAAAAGCCCATGGATCCTCAGGATTTTTGCATTGGGTCACCCGAAATCACATCAGATCACATAGCATGTCCATGGCTACAGCCTGCACCCAAAAAAATCCCGCACCCACTGTTGCGTGGGGCCGCAATGGCGCAAAAATGTGGTTACAAAGCACAGGTCCACATGGATCCTCAGGATTTTTGCTTTGGGTCACCCCAAACTCGCTGTCAAATCACATGTCTGTGGCCACAGCATGAACCACAAAAATCATACATCCACTGTTTCATTCAGAATATTTTTTTCTTGCTTTCCTCTAAAAACTAGGTGCGTCTTATGGAGCAAAACTACGGTGTTTCTGTAGGTTAGAATCAGATGCCCTGGTAAATGTGTCAAGGGCCCAGTCTATATATTGCAATAAGTCCTGGTTACTGTGAACTAGTAGCATGCTAATGCAAACTGCTCAGTAGCTGCCAGTTTGCTGCTGTCCTGCTATGAATGACAGCAATAATCTGATCAAGACACAATCCGCAATCCAAAGTTTGTTCTTGACTTACCAACCATTGTTCAAGAGAAACAAGCTGTGATTCCAATGTGCATGTTAATGACAAGCCAATCTCCATGGCTTATTGCTCCCATCCATGCCATGGGAAAGTGCGAGTGCTTGGGCAGTTTTGTTTTTAAGTTTGTGCGGAAAGCTACTTTTGCCCTTCCTGACTGTATTGATTGTGTCTGAGGCTGTACCTCTGCAAGCATTAAATTCAGATTCAGTCATCATTAGTGTGTTTGATTTATGGAATCCCTGATGAGCCCAGCTATGACTCACAGACGTAACTATCTCTTTGAAGAGTTTTTACCATCTCTGTGTTCATGTTTGCTGGTCTTGTTTGCCTCTTTGTAAAGCAAACCAATAAACCCAACAACAAATCCAACTGACTTATATTACTTTGAATTCTCAGACCTAGCATAAGGGAGAGAAATTGCAAAAAAAAAGAGTTCAGATCTTTTAATTCAAGAGGAGCATCACAGACTAGTATTGGTAGAATAACTTCTCTAACTTGAAAATTAGCCATTTTTCCCCAATGGCAATCTGCCTTGGGTGCCCTGGAATAAAAAGTGGAGTAGAAACTACAAAAATAAGTAAAACATAGCCTTGCAATCTCACCACCCTCTTTGCTTTATGAATGTGACTAGCACCTAAGGTGGTGATGAGTCTGACTTGAGAGTAAGTTTGATTCAGTGGGTAAAGTGCTGAGTCTAGTCCAGTTCAACCATGAGCTAAGACAACCCTGTAGCTTTGGTTCCCTATTGCATGTGGAAATAACTGTGACTTCCCCATGGAGTTACAGTCCAGGGTTAATGAACAAAATTCTCAACAAACCTCTTTGAAAGTGCTATAGAACTTACTGGCGTTTCCAATTTTGTTTTGTCTCTTTCTAGGAGCGTGGGAAGCATTCAGTGTTTTTATGGACTCTTATCTCCTCTCCTTAATCAAGACTAAAATATGGAGGCTTCTCCACCCCCTCCTTCCCACTGCCCTCTGCTCTTTCCGGACCCCTTGGAAGGGACTTTGCCTGCAGAACTCCATCTGGCACACCATGGTATTGGGACCTGAGCTCTGCCTGTGTGCTGTCGCTGCTGCTTGATGGAGAAGCACTGAATGACTTGGAGGGTGGGAGGGGTTGGTTGTCTGAGCCACCGTGACCAGGGGGCCACTTCAATCCATGGATTCTTGGACTCAAAGAGAATGGTGCTTTCCACAGAGGTCTCTCGCCTCTTTCCTTTCCGTGGCTTTTTTAGGAGCACTGGGGAAGGAGCCCATCCAGCTCGTCTCCTGCGAGAAAAACTGGTGCTTCAGCACAGTATGAGATGTCTGACCCTATTCTCCCCGGAACTCGTGTCCACGGTCCACGTTGCATTGTTTTCTTAGGCATCGAGGCATCCATTCCTCCTTAAATCTGATCCTTTTCCCCAAGCAGCTTCAGTCTTGCCCTCCAGCACCGTTGTACACAGCTTAGAAAACAGTATTTCCCTGCTAGGGTGGAAGGCAGGCTGGCTGCTTCTTCGGGTGACCCCTCTTCTCCCTTCCTCCTTTAGTTGCGGGAAAATGTCACCTCCTTTCTACCTGGCTTCTTCTAGAGGGGCCTGCGTTGGTCAACCGGCTCACAACATTGAATCTCCCTTAAAAAATAGATCTGGCTACTGCAGGTCCGCTTTCCACTGATTTGCTAACCATTTTTCCTCGCTTTGTTTCATGCAATAGCTGCTCCAGTTGTAACTTCTGATGTAAACCTTTGTTTCTGGGGCCAGCCCCTCCCAGATTGCCACCTTCCTTGTTGTAGAGGAAGTGTTGTGAACGGAGACCATAGAATGGAAAGGGGCAAAGTCAAGCTGGGGCTACCTGGAAGTTACCGAATGCAGCACACCCTAAGCATTTTTAAAATTCTATGTGATGTACTTGTTGAACGTGTTGATTTAAGGTCCAGAGCTTTCCTTGGCCCCTGCCTCCTTTTAAAAGGAGTTCCTTTTTGGAGTGGTTCACTCATGAGTTTGCTTCAGATAGCACCATACCTCACTGATCTCTGGCATGCCAGTCTAGGGAGACGATTAGAGACAGTGGGAGGCGTCTCTTCACACCACCATATTTAGCTGTGTTATGTAATCATAAGTAGGGTTTCTGGAGCCACTCTAGTCACCAGGCAGCCCTTTGAGACCAGTTGCAGCAAAAACCTGCTTGTTCGGAGCATTATGGGACAAAAGCACCTGCAGAGTTCTTGATTAAGCTCTCATCTTTGAGTTGCAACCCTTCGGGTGTTCATTTTCAGCTTTCATTGCTCCATCCTAGCCTGAGCACCCAGTTACTTAAAATCAAGGTAACACGTTACACCCTGGAATATGCAGTCTCCAGCAACTGGATCTCGGTAGTGAGGCCAAGCATCTGTTGTGTTCACGAACACTTAATGTGATTGTTCAGCTGCATGGTGAAGCCTCCCTTGTAGAAGGACCCTGTTTTGTCTCACAGAACAATGTTGTGAGCGGAGGGGGTGGTGTCTGGCAAAGGATGTTCTTGTGTGATGTGGCACCTCCTTTTGTACTGTTGATCACAGAGGTGCTCAGCTCTAAATGTGGTTTTTTTAAAAAAATAAAACGGGGAAAGTTGTGTAAGCAATGGAGTGACAACTTAAACTGTAAAATATATTAAAAATTGATGATTGGAAAAGTTGCTTTTTACATAATGGACATTTTTAGTTTGTTTTGAAATAATGGAAGTAAGAAAAGAAAGAAATGAAACAACAGAAACATAGCCTTGGTTCCTCTCAACTCACCCACCCCTGTTCTTCGTGATTTGATTTGTTTGTCTCTTTCTGATAGGTTGGAAATTGTGTAATAAACTTGATGATATTGTCAATCTTTTATACTGCATTGTATGGCTTCTTTTCATTTTGTAACTATTTTGAATGCTGGGTGAGCTGTTTTCTAGAATCTCCACTAAATATGAGCGGGGGGCAGGGGGGAGACCTTGATATGGAAAAGAAGATGGATAGATAAGACAGGTGCCATATTTTGGCTGGGTAGTAGCCCTTGTACAACCATGGTTTTATGTACTGCTAAACTAGTTCCAAACCCACTTTATGTACACATATTAAAATGATTTTTTAAAAGCTTCTATCTCTCAGTCATCTCCATTTAAAGGGGAGTGTCTGGTAGCAAGCCAAGGAAAGATTTGAGACCCTTGAGAATTTCTGCCAGTGTGAAATCAGTAAACTGAATGAAGATTTGATGCTCAGCATCATTTTAAGGAGCTCCTTTAAAAAATATTTGCTCTGGAAAACATGAACAGAAATCACAGGTTTCATAAAAAGGGATAAGCATTATGCTGAACAGAGATGGGGAAATGAAGCCATGATGAAAACTGATGAAACTCAAACACTTTGAAAGGGGATTGTGCCTTTCACGTGAAATTGAATATTATCAGGCAAGGATGCAAGGAAATATAATAGCATATAAGGGCTTTCTGTCTATGGCAGGAAAAGGTTCAGTTACAAGAATATTGTCCTGATTGCTAGTGGTATTCAGTGAAATGTTTCTGGGGATCATAGGCTTGCACAGATGGTTTGTGTTTCACCTTCCTGAAGGTTTGTCATAAAAGGGCATTTGCCTGTGACTGGCGGATGAGGTGGTAGTACTTTCAGAATGCAGCTTGAGTGATGAACAGTCTGTGGGAGGGGCTTAATGCTGAGTGGGTGGGTTTACCTGGTTGCTAGGTGATGATTGTGATCTATGGGACCAGGATTAATCTCAAGTGAGCCCAGATAACTGGTCTGATGAATGGGTACCATTCAAGTCTCTTGTCATTCTCACCATGACATACTCACTAGAATTTGGCCTTGTTAATGCGGCCAACCGGTACCTGACTGCTGAACCTTTCCGTTTCCAGGTGGCAGCCACAGGCAAGCAACTGAAGCCTCGTCAGTTGTGGGTACTGCAGTTTGTGAGCCCACAGGGAGCTGGGGCAGCTGGCCCAGGAGAAGGGGCTGGCCAAAAGCTTCACCTGATCAGTGCACTGAAACGCTACTTGGCGGCTGACGCAAACGGAAAAGTCACCTGTGACCAGGACAAACCAGGGCCTCAGACCTTCTTTCTCTTGCATCAGTATCCAGATGGCAAGGTGCTGTCTCTCACCCAGGCACAAGCATCATATCTCTCAAGTGTAGCTTACGTCCGATATTATCGGGCTGGAATTCTGGACAAAGGGTTGGTTGGGTGGGTGAGACGGAGGGCAGAAGGTAGGAAAACAATGCTTAAAGTTGCCTCAATAGGGCCTCAAAACTATTCCGCTATTGACCAAATGTGGGCCTCTTGTTTTGCTTACAAATGTTTTTTACAATTAAGAGGCAGAAATGAGGGCAGGATTGAGCTCGATTTGCAGACTAGTTTGCTGTGGTGAGAAGCAGGGTTTTTCTAGATTCTTACGGGTAAGTTCAGGCAGCAGATTCCTGCACTCCAGTGCTGTAAAGTGCACCAGGAAGAGTGCAAAATGTCCCTGGACTCTTCCCCCCCCCTCCCCAATGGTCTCCTTGGGAAGCTCTTTGCCCCGTGGCCAAACAGTATGATAGCCACTATGGGCTGAAGGGGAGAGAATGTGTCTGAATAGCTTATTTGAGTCCCTGTGCTAAGAGTTGCCTGGTGTATCCTTCAAGGTGCCCTAGCCACTTCCCATCCACAACTGGAAACAGCTGTTGCACAATGGCATTTAGGTGATCATGGCAACTCCATAAGCCCAAAGGTGTAACGTAATTGGTGTAATGATACCTGAATTTTATTCTGCCATGTTCTTTGCTCATTGAGAGTATTCCTGCTTTTCTTGTCTTGGGCAATGTAGCTGACCAGACATCCTTCCCTCCCTGCAGGTGTCCTTGCAAAATGAACAGTCCAAGCGCTACCTGGGTGGAGCAGAGGAGAACGTCACCTGCTTTGCCCAGGCTGCCACTGAAACTGAAAAATGGACCCTCCACCTGGCTGTGCACCCCAATGTTGCCATGTACAACCCCAACAGGAAGCGTTATGTGCGGTGTGATGATAAAACGGGGGTGCTGCGCTGTGACCGTGACATGCCCTGGGGGGCTGAATCAGTCATCACTATCTACTATGATTTCAGAGGTGGGTGGTGGCATTTTCCTATTTTGTTTTCAATTGATATGTGCATTTCTCTCTCTAATACTGTAACACACATCTCCCCCCCCCTTTGTTGGGGGAGCGTGTTAAAGAAGCAAAACATTCTGCTGTAGGGTTACACACACACTCTTACACACACTTACAGTAATTCCTGTTGCAGATGAGGACTTATAGCTACCATACTAACAAGAAAGTTGCTTCTTCTGAACTAAGGATTGTTTAAAGTTTTCTGTTATCCTCTCCAACTATGGAGCAGACACCTGGGGTAAGTCTGAACACCTGGAAAGACTTGAGAAATTTGAGAGATGGAGAAAGTCTGTACCGGTCACAGACTTTCTCCTCCCACAGTGAGAAAGTTGCTACTTTATTCTACAGATGTTTGTCTGCTTGTGATTTTACCTGTACATGAGGATTTCTAAGTGCTACAGGTGGGTGGGGTGGCCTGGGAAGGCAGTAAGTGCTTCTAAGTGGAAGGTCTTAATTCAAAAAGTTTGAGTGACACTGCCTTATTTACACATCTCTATCCAAAAGCCACCCAAGCACCTTCTAAGATAGTCCTCTGTTATTGATGTGTGAAAAAGTTCAGTTTGAGTCATTTGCATCTCCTCCAATAGGTCTGGAGTCCAATGGTGAGAGAAGGCAATTTTCCCCATACATACCAGGTGAATTCAAATTCTGTTTACCCAAGAAGTCACTGTGGCTGGCAGGAATTTTGATTTCCTTAACATCATTAATTAGCTTGGGTAATTCTTAGAACTACTAATTGCCCTATGCAAGACTTTCTGGTAAGTTAGACACCAGTGCAAACTTTCCAAATAAGGCAAGAAAGGGAATTGTCTGTGCAGAGAAGTTTCCAAGTGCAAATCCTCTTTCCTGACCGTATTGATGTTGGAGGTTCCCCACTCTCACACACACACTTTTAAGTGAAATTGCACACTAGGCTAAAGAATCTAGTACAACCAGTTTTTAAAACACGCATGTAGTGTGGATAAAGGTGCGTATTAGTGCAGATGGGAACATGACTTCAATCCCAATCTCAGCCTGCATGTGCCCATGGCACATCGCACTATACCTGGGTAGGGCGTCATGGCCTCTAGCTTTATCAAGCACACATGTAAACCCCCAAAGTAACTATGCAAGAAAAATAGGGTGTAATCTAAGGTAAAGGTAAAGGTACCCCTGCCCATGCGGGCCAGTCTTGCCAGACTCTGGGGTTGTGCGCCCATCTCACTTAAGAGGCCGGGGGCCAGCGCTGTCCGCAGACACTTCCGGGTCACGTGGCCAGCGTGACAAAGCTGCATCTGGCGAGCCAGTGCAGCACACAGAACGCCGTTTACCTTCCCGCTGGTAAGCGGTCCCTATTTATCTACTTGCACCCGGGGGTGCTTTCGAACTGCTAGGTTGGCAGGCGCTGGGACCGAGCAACGGGAGCGCACCCCGCTGCGGGGATTCGAACCGCCGACCTTTCGATCGGCAAGTCCTAGGCGCTGAGGCTTTAACCCACAGCGCCACCCGCGTCCAGGGTGTAATCTACGAGGAAACAAATGCAGTATCAGCACCACCAATGCTGTACAAAGCTGAGGCCCAATGAACCTCAACTTGCCTATCAGAACAAAGCACAGGGGGCTATTTACACACATGTACAAATGATATATGAGATTCTGGGTAAGGGAAATACAATGGGAAATGTTAAGGGCGAACAGGACTAGGGTACTCTAAAGGGTTAGTGTTTGGAACTGCAGGCAGGGTGGGCCTGTGTGGCAATTCTGCAGTGAAACAAGCATCAGCCCTGATGCTACTTTGTAAGACAATTGATTTGGAGATTGTTTTCCAGGACTGAACACCAAGCTGCTGTCAACCTCTCATCTCTCTCGCCTTTGTCTCCAGTAAAGAAGTATGGATTGAGGAATGGGGCTGGCAAACTGTTGGCTTCCAACGGCTCACTGGTACCAGATGTTACCCCACAAACTTTGTACTCCCTGGAGGTGCATGGCGGCTTGGTCGCTCTGCGGGATGAGGAGGGAAAGTACTTGACTGGGCGAGAGGGTAGCATGAGAACCGTAAAGATGGACAAACCTGGACGGGAGGAACTCTTCAGCATGGAATCCAGCCCTGCCCAGGTCTCTATGCGCTCTTCTTCTACTAACAAGTTCATTTGCTGCAGGCCAGGTAAGTCAGGAGAAAACAGCACTATCTATATTGCATTGCACTTTGTGAAGCCTCTGCAGCTGATTGGCTTTTCCGGTCTGATGAGATGGAATGTTTGTGACCATTCCACCTGCTCAGGAAATGAGGCACAGTGGTAGTCCACATTCTGCGAGCAATGGGGCAGTTGTCAGTTTGGTTGGGTAAAACTGAGATAAGACTGACTCGGGAGGCAGGGTGAATGCTGGGACCTCAGAGGCAAGATGGCTGAAGAGAGGGTGCAGAAGTAAGAAGCAGAAAAAGGGCACATACAATTGAAGTAGCAAGGATCCAGTAAGATTACGGTCCCTGAAAAAACCCACAGCATTTCTTATTAAAAGTGGTGTGACAGAAGTGCTAGGGAGGCTAACCAGAATACAAGATGGCCAATCGAAATGGGGCTAAGTAGGCTGTGAGCTGAAAAAGCAAAAACCTGAGGAAATGAATGGTGTAGCTATAGAACTAGGGCAAGAAGACTGGAAGAAAACCACACAAAGTGCTTTGACTAGAGAAACCCAGGATGGAATTTAATGTCACTTTAAGGCGATTGTTCTGCTTCCCAGATGAAGTGATTTCACCTTTCCCACATACACTGTTCGGGGGTTGTCTTGAACCTGCAGAGCAGATTTGGGGGGCCATGGGAGAAGCCATGTAGCCAAAGATCTTCCGTCGGACTCCCCTGGTGAGACAGGTTACTTGAATCCACACACTGCACTCCTTTGGAAGAAACGAAGTACAGCAAGCCAGCAACTTAACTTGTGCACAATTAATCCAGATCTGAAAGAGGATTTGAATTTAGGCTTGCACGTGACGTTTTGTGCTCTTAAACCAGCCTGCCTCCAAAGATAAAGATAGGAAGGTCCAAATGATCCTAGGTCAGTTGACACACAATGCCCCCATTCTCTGCACAATGTTTTCCTCTTTCGATCCATGAAGCACTGATTTCAGCCTGCAAGGAGTGGGCAATGGCATATGTAGGAATGCTGACCTCGGGTGTTTCTTCCCTGCCCCCTGCAGGTGCTGATCTCTATGCCAATGCTATGGCTGTCGGCAACACAGAGATCTTCCAGGTGCTGTTTGATGACACCACAAAGAAGGTCTGCTTCCGTAGCCACAGCGGCGCGTATATGTCCTTGGTGAGTGTGCCTGCCACGCATTACGAGGAACAGCAGCAATCAGGCAGGACCAGCTATTTCAATTTGTTTCCTAACTATGGAGAAAGGACTGCAGCTCGTAGGTGGTAGAGCACCTGCTTTGCATGCAGAAAGCCCCAAGCTTTTTTCAGCCATAGCCACTCATTCCAGTCTTGTCCCCAACCTCCTTGCGACTATATTCTACAATGGGCAACACTGAGACGAAGGAGGGAGGAAGCTGACAGGCAGCCCCACCCCACGACTGGTTGTAAGTGAGAATGTGGTGACTGATCAAGGGCAGAGTGAGGATGGTGGGGCAGGGCCCCTTTTGCCCAAGTGGGTCAGCTTCTACTGGATACATCTGTGCCCAGATTGTGGTGCACTAACTTAATCTGGAATTCTTTTAAATGTGAGCAAGGAGGTGGGTGAGCTGCATCCTCGACACTTGGCTGCAAGCATTCACAAAAATTGTGGCCTGGTTCAAAAAACAAAATGATTTAAGATTGAAACTTGATGTAGTAGAGGCTTTGCCACCTCAAGTGTTCACCTAACTCTCCCCAGATGAAGAAGATATATCTGTGCTGTGTGTGTATTAATACAGAAAGGCAGGCTGCAAATCGAGGATAATAATATAGCAAGCAGGGAACTGACAAAAGGAGGCTTGTTAAATAGCAGAAGATAGCTCTTGGTCCTGGACTTGTTTGTTAACGTTAATAATGGCTGTCTCAATCCTTTTCCAAAACATTTTTGTCAACTTTAGTGCGGGTGGGGGGAGTTACTCTATTCTACAAAGCAAAGCAGGGCATTATACACAATCCTCCTTGTGGAAAAGTGAAAAAATTGTTTTTTGTACACTGAGGATGGAGAACCTGTGGCTCTCGAGTTGTTGTACTCAAATGCCTATTGTCCTTGATCATTGGCTGGCAGTTATTACTCCAACATCTTCAGGGCCTCAGGTTTCTTATCCCTGCCACAGATGAAATATGTAAGTGTGCAGTAGGAATGCACATCTTCCTGAACAACCTCTTAAGAAAAAGCTAACTGCTTAAGCCCGGAGCGCTGGAGACATCTTTTTCAGGTCTGCTATTCACTTACCTGGGAGTAAAACTTGTTGAACTAAATGAAACTTATAAGTAGAGTTGAAGGTGGTCTTCTGGCTGCATTGTTCATGGTGTGCACATACACTATCTGCTATGAACCCTAGTCAGAAATTTTGCAGATTTTTGTTGTGCTTCAAAACCTATACTGCACATCTAACATACCATTTAGAAATCTTATAGTTTGGCTTCAGTCTGGGCTATGGTTCACATTGTGCAACTTGAAGTGTGAAGTCAACAATAAAGTGGCTTTGAATAAAGCCAAGGTCCACTACCATCCCTAGCTTGCTGATGCTAGAAACCTTCCCCTTTTGGAGGTAACTACTGCTGGACTAACCTCCCTGGTATTGAGAAGCTCATGCATTGCTGTACTCTTGTGTTGCGTCACCTACCACAATGGAATTCTCAGTCTTGATGCAGCACCAAATACCTTCCACTGAAAATATATCAACATGGATCTCAGAACGTAGCTGATAAAGGGACTGCTACAGAAGGTTTCTATCAGTCAAAGTAACCCAAAAACACAAAAAGCACTTTCCAACGAATGCATCCTGTCTTTTGCAGGGTCCTAATGACTGTATTAACAGCAACACCAAACAGGACAGGAATGTCTGGTTCGACATCCAGTACCAAGACCAAAAGGTGTGTCTCCGCATAGCAGACAAGCAAGTGTCCATGCGGCCCAATGGACAGCTCCTGGCAATTCCCAAAGCTGCAGGTACAAGTTGGTAGAGAGCTTCTCTTACAAGCACCAGGGCATCAGTGTGGACAGGTGAACATAGCTAGGGTGGGAAGAGAGACTGCACACTGCCAGCTGCAAATTAGCTTTAGGTAGTTCTAGGGGAAAGGAATGGAAGCGACAGCCTTGCACTAACTCCCTAGATAGCTCTCTAGAGGAATAATGTGGGGAAAGTCTTTGCACAGAAACCAAGCTGTCCCTGGATATAAAATTGGAACATGGGGAGCCAACCTTAAGCCCATCCTGTGAAATGGCTTTTTAGACACCTCAAGGGCTTCTTGTTGGAAACCAGCAACCAAAACTTTCATAATCTTGCTCTTGCAAGATGGAATGAGTTCTGTTTACACTCCCTTCCTTACGCTTTGGAGTAGCTAACATCACTACAAATACAGCCTAGATGAAAGAGAAAAAAACATCCTAAGACTCACAAAACACTGCCCCTCTGTGCATATAATCCTGGCCCCCAGAACTGCATACCAAGTAGGTTGACACTGCTTCTGTAATATGATCTGGGAAGCAGTCAGAGAATGAGTTCCAGTTTGGGGGGAACCACCACCAGAAATAGCTGTGCAGTTGTTGTCCATAGTGGTTACTTGAATGAACTTGGGGCAAATGCCACTGACAGTAGAAATCGGGATAAAACCCAAGGGAAGAACAGTATTTGAAGCCCAAGCCATTAAAAGCTTTCTGTGCCATAAGCAGCACCTTGAATCAAGTAAGAAAGACTAGAGGGAAACATTGTGAATTCTGGGCCCCTGTTACAACACTCAGCCTGGCTTCTCAGTGTGGGGTGATTTTTCCTGATCTTTAGCACTGAAGTTGACTTTCCCTGTGGAGCTGATTCCCTCTTGAGAGCAAAAGGAAGGGTGGCAAAATAGTTCTCTTTGAAAGCCAGGTGCGGCCAATGCTAAAGGTTTCCCTTGTACCTTCAGGGAAGAGTGAAGATTTCCTGCTGGTGCTGGTGAACCGGCCACTGCTTGTCCTGCACAGTGATGCCGGCTACGTGGGTCTGTGTTCTGACATGAGGAAGTTGGAAGGGAACTGCGTCAGCTATGTTGCCAGCAGCCTGTCGCTCACCGAGGAAGGCTACTACAACTTCCAAGTTGGTTAGTATGTTTCCAGGTGGGACTAAGTATATTCCACGGGGTTGGGGTCTCCTAGTATCTGTGTTGCGAGAGAAACATGACCTACTCATAAATCGGAGCTGCCATCAAAGGATTTTTATAAAAACAAGCCTAGTTTATACGTAGCCATAAGAGGGAGCCAAAACTTGCTTTCCCAAACCAAAACAATGCAAGAGAGCGCATCATCACTATTTCCCCCCCTTTGCCCTTTGTTTTGCTCCATGACCCCTGGACAATAGTTTCCTAGGCCCAATTAAGGATAAACTACTGTTCAGGTTCGCCTGCCTACCTAGCAGTTCGAAAGCACCCCCAGGTGCAAGTAGATAAATAGGGACCGCTTACTGGCGGGAAGGTAAACGGCGTTTCCGTGTGCGGCTCTGGCTCGCCAGAGCAGCGATGTCACACTGGCCACGTGACCCGGAAGTGTCTGCGGACAGCGCTGGCCCCCGGCCTCTTGAGTGAGATGGGCGCACAACCCCAGAGTCTGTCAAGACTGGCCCGTACGGGCAGGGGTACCTTTACCTTTACCTTACTGTTCAGGTTGGATGGCCATCTGTCATGGTTGATTTAGCTGTGATTCCTGTGTTGCAGGGCGTTGGACTAGATGACCCTTGGGTCCCTTCCAACTCTATTATTCTAGGTGTCGGTCATGTTTTCACTTTATACATGGTTTCTTTCTAAACCATACCTAGTATTGCCATGACAAGCACATCCTAATTACCTGTGATTCTTTTACCTCGTAAAAGTCGGAGAGATCCAAGAGCTGGTCTTGCCACACCTCTACCTTCCCTGACCCTCACCCTTCCTTCCACTAATTCTGCCACTTGACCTGCAGGCAGCAAGTACTGGGCTCTGGATAACGATGGACAAATCTTGGTAAACAGTGACCGTCCCAGCAATTTCACCATCCAGTTTGCATCCTCCAGCTGCCTGATCATCAAAGCACCCAACAACAAGTTTTTTTGTGGCTGAGCAAGGAGGCCGACTATGGGCAGGGGCTTCAGACGCATCTGGAGCAACACTGTTCCATTTCTGAGAGCATCTGACCCTGCTCTTCCCACCAATAAACTTTTTCTGTGTGGGCTTACTTCATGCTTATCTCAACTGATGCCCAATTGGCCCATGTGTTAGACCTCTTGGAAATGACCCTTCCTCCGTAGATCCTTCCTCACACAGGGCATACTTGAACTCTAAATGAAGGCTCTGCTACCTACAGCAGACCCAAGCCAGGACCCTTGAATGTGAATTTCCTTATGCAAAAACTTTCTGTGCCCATGAGGTCCCTTCTGAACCGCCTTCATGCAGTTAGGATTATTTGCAAAGCCTCAGTTATCTTAAAGATCTGTACCTCTCTTCACCCCAAGAGGGTTCCCCCACGCTTCTAGGAGCACCGCTGTTCTCCCATTGTACCAATGTTTGTCTGAAGCTCCACATAGCTACAGTAGTTTAAAAATAAATATTTATTCCTAGGATGCAGTAGAAAACCAAGTATCACAAATTGTCAATACACACCAATAACAACACTGGTTTGGGGGGAAGGGTCACAAGGCCTGCTGCCCTTATCCCTACCCCCATTCAGGAAAAGGGCACAGGAGGTAACACAACAATGAGAGAGGATGAGCAAGACTGCCCTCCTGAGTCACTGCACACATGCTAGAGTCTTGAGTTGTTAGAATGTACCACGCTGGGGAATTCAAAGGACACACCAGCTGCAGGCAAAGTCTGATTATTAGGTGGCATTCACTGGCCCATAGTCTTTTGACTTGCGAGAGTCAATTACCCAAGGTACAAAGTTGGAATGGATCAATTGGCGCCCTCCAGGAGGATTGCAAGCTTAGTTAGGGTGGGTGGGTCTGTCATCTCATGAAAACTGTTTCCAGACACTGGAGACCCTGCTAATGGTTGCTCTACCTGAATGAGCTTGAAATGAGAAGTTGAGCTTCTTTCAGCTTATTGGGGGAATTGGATCCACACCTCATCTTGTTCCAGCCACAGAAATGGAGGGTTCATGCAGCCTCTCTCCAATCTGAAGAGCACACGGTTCCATACATTGCAGCCCACAAAGGTTCTCAGTAAGAGTCCAAACTGCAGAAATTAGAGAGCGAAACGTGAGGATCTTAGCAACAGCGACAGCAAATACCTCTGCCTTCTTACCCAATTTACATTGGAACAGACTGAACACCTATTCTAAGGATGGGGAACCTGCAGCCCTCCAGATGTTGGAATCCAACTCCCACCATAGCCAATAGTCATTGATGATGGAAGTTGTCTAGCAACATCTGGGGAGCCCATGTTCTATTCCATTGATTCCCCTGTTTGAAGAAATAAGCCAACCAACATAAATATATGATAAGCCACCTCTGCAATTTAGCATTACATCATTGAGCCTGAATCAATCAGAAAAAGAACGTCAAACCTGCATGTTCTCCCACAACAGCCAAGGAGGACTTCAGCAGGATTTTATGTTCTCTATTTAATTCTACTTTTAAAGAATCCTAGCTTAGCATTATGTCTGAACCAGGAATCCTGGTTTAAAACTCTGGTAAGTGCCATAATAAATCAACTTCACACTATGGGTTATGAAGTTGGCTTCTTAAACTGATCAGAGTTACAGTATACCAATTTCCAGAGAGTATAACAGAAAGGTTTGCATTCAACACAGCGCTAAGAAAGATTTCTCCTTGTGCAATTGAACATTTTCCCTCCCTGCATGCCCCTTAAATCTGCTCTGGGAATGGCATGGGGCACAGAAGTCCCACTGTACTAATACTAATCCTTGCACTAGTGTGGATATTTGGTTGAATATTGTCCAGTCTTTGGGGGACATTAAAGGCTAAGCTAACACATTTATTACAGCTTAAGCTAGTCCATGAAAACTTATGCCATAACTAATTTGATACTTTTTAATGTGCCACAGGACTTTGTTGTTTTAAACCAGGATTCTTGGTTCCAACATGATGCTAAACAGGGATTATTTAAAAGTGAAAGTAAATCCTTCCAAGTCCTCCCAGCCATAAAGGAAGAGGATATGGGGACTCACACACGAGCCTGAAACTTCACTTAGACCTTTCCATATAGCACTAAACCCAACATTACATGTAAATACAGTCAGTGTCTTAAAAAACAAAATCTAATCAATGCACATAAAAAAATATTTCCCTGAAATACCCTAATGATAGGCAAGTAAAGTACCTGGAGAAGGCAGCCAGAGTGAGAACACCCAGTAACAGCTCCACAGCATAGAAGAGGAGGAGGATAGCATTAAGGATGGCCTCTAGCCGCAGAGCATAAGTCTGCAGCAGCAAATAATAGGCTGCCATCACTGCTGCTGGAAAGGTTAAAGCCAGACTGATAGCAAGTGGCACTTTCCGTTGACAGAGGTTCCCTTTTGAGCCTGCCATACACAGAAAATATGAAAAAGAAAATGCATAGACCTGTTCAGCATAAAAGCCACAATATTTGGAATCTGAGGGCACAAAATGAATAGCTCTACTTTTCAGGGATCAGTTCTCATTTAACTCATTTAACTAAATAAGTTAAAAAATTAAAAAATTGTCCAGTAGCACCTTTGAGACCAACTAAGTTTGTTCTGCGTATAAGCTTTCGTGTGCATGCACACTTCTTCAGATACACTGAAACAGAAGTCACCAGGTCCTTATATATAATGGGAGGTGGGGTGGGGTATTTCTTGGAAGGGTAGTAGGAGATGGGTGATTGGCTCAATGGGTATGGTAAACCTGTTGATGAGTGTGAACAATTTTTTAATTTTTTAAATATATATATATATATATATTGACTACGTCAGACCAACACGGCTATCTACCTGAATCAAGAATCATTTAACTGAGAATAAGGAATGGGAATTTGCATTTAACATTTGTACTGTAGTTCATAAGCTAGTCTCAGGTCAGGAAGGACAGTCAGACTGGATGAATGGGATCTCATATTTCCACCCGCATAATGTTGTCTTGCCTCCTACCTACTCACAGAGCCCCTTTTTCAGCCTTTGGGCATCATTTCATTGGAGGCACCTATTCCAGTTCAGCAGAATAATTAGGAAGACCTAGAATGATGGAGTGAAGGCACTGTCAGCACTTTACACTCTGCTCAACTACTCTCAAACACCTTTGCTGTTGGAGAAGCAGAATTTATCGATGAGTGAACCACATTAACAACAACAACAACAATAAATTTTATTCATATCCTGCCCATCTGGCTGGGTTTCCCCAGGAGTCATCTTTTCAGGTCAAGTGCCATCAAAGATGCTCACAAAATGGCACTACTTGTGGGAACATTTGTATTGAATACCGTACTCACCAAAAAATATCCGGGTCACTTCAATCCCAAGATAGAGAAAAAGCATAATCAGGTCCAAAGCCAAATTGGCAGAGGGGTAGGGCAACAGGAGTCCTAAGCGGGTACACAAATGGACATGTGCATTAAGAGAACAGCAAAGCCAGATGCCTCTTCCCATTTAATGAATTCCTTAATAAAAGAAGAGTGTCTGATGTTGGTTAACATCTAATGTAGCAGCTAGAATGACAACAAAAAGTGGGACATGGATGGTTCTGAAAAAGGCTGTGATCTCTTAAGCAGCTAGGTGAGGAATAAATAATTACACTATCCACTTTGTTCTTTCACTTTCTTCAGGCGAGAGCCACAAGGTAAATGCGCAAAAAAAGCCTGCAGGCAACCCAAACATCATCCCTTCAAAGACTCACCTTTATAGACAAATATGAATATCTCCAGCAGAAAATATGTTGCGTAATACCAGCCATTCAGGAACAGGAGAATTTCCAGAGGGGTGGAGGATAGTTGACGATCTAGGAGGTGAAACCAGAACATGATTATCTATGGGATACACATTTTGTGTTCCACTCTCACCTTCTCTTAAAGAGGAGCAGTACAAACTTTCTTGAGAGACTATATTAGAGTTTATGTACACTTCCTCTTGTCCCCCTGCTTTCCAGCTGAATCAGAGCCAATGGCAATTCTGGTTTTCCCAGGACTGCCATTTGTTCCAATCTATCCCAAGGTGGGTTTTCCCTCAGAAAGGAGCGGGGCAAAGGGTGTGAGTCAAGCAGAAACTGCTGCTAAGAAGCCAAGCAGCAATGAGATTGTCTCAGTTCTGTTCTAAACTCAGTCAACAGAGACTGAGGTGAAGATTGTCAAAATGGAAGCCCCGAGATGACGACTGCCATTAGGGGATGCCAATATTTGTACAGGGCTGGACAAGGGCACAGAACACAAGCCTTGTGTGCAGCCACTCTCCATTTCGCCTTTCTTGCATTTGGGGGTGCACTGGACGTTGTGAGCTCAAAACTGGGGTGCTGTGTCCTCACCAGCTTAGCGTGGAACCTCAGCAAATGGTCTCTAACATACCTCAGGCAAAGGGAAACCGACCAGCAGCAGAGAATAAAAACCCCACCGATCTGAGAACCCATTGGAAGGGTCCAAAACCCCGTATTTGGGCAGCTTTACGCTAGGAGAGGGTTGCGAAGGGGCAGCCTCCCGCAGGACGTGGCCCCGAGTCTACCACCCTCCTCTGGCAGAATGGTTTTTCTGGGGAAGCTCAGCGCTAGGCTGAGCCAAGAGGCCCCGCATCAGGCTCTGGGGACCCGGAGGCCACTCTGCCTCCCTCCCCTTCGCTCCGGCTATTCCTCCCGCCTGGGGAGCGCTTAGCGGGATGCCGTCAGATCCCCGCCGTCGCTGCCGGGCTGCAGCCGGAGCCCGGTTCCCGTCCCTGCTCCAGGGCTCGGGGTGTCCTGGGCGGCGGGCCGGGCGAGCGGGGTGGAAATCAAGAAGAGCCGAGCCTTCCACGGGGATCAGTCGCGGTGACGTGACCTCGCAGCCCCCAGGGCCCTAGAACGCTGCCGGGACCCCGACTTACTGCGAGGCGCCATCTTCCATCGCCATGGAAACCGCTACGCAGGAAACCCACTTCCGGCGGAGCTCACTGCACGAAAGCGGGAGAGGGCGGAGTGGCGCGCAGCGTTCGCGGAGGCAGAAAGGTCTGGGTTGGCGAGGCGCGCGCTCGCTCCCTCGCTCGCAACCAGCACGTTATACCGAAAGGACGCAGAGCAGAGCCGCTCTATCCCTGGCCTCTTTGTGCCGGAAGACCCGTTAGAAAGGCAAAAAGCTCCATGCGATACCGGATATCGAACCGCGTCTCTTTGGGGCGGAGGCCCAGATTCCGAGCAGGGACGGCGTCGCCTCGTCACCATGGTAACCCATGAATGCTACCCGCGCTTCCTCCGCGCGATTTGTGGAGGCAGGAAATAAACGCAGGGGCTCCGTTCTCTGGCCTTCTGACAAGGAGCGACACCTATTTCTTTGCTTGTTATGTAACGGCCCCGTTTTTCTTCCGTCCTTTCCTCATACGCACATTTTTATTTTAGATTTTACAAGTTTTTTCCCCGGGAAGTGGGGACAACATACACACACGCGCATCATACAAAGCACCTCGGATTAC